GTATTGGTTAGAATCTGCCACATAGTACTATCGCTGTTTTGACAGTGTGTCTTACAGGTTATAGAAATTAGGACTATAGCCATGGCGAAGGACATTCTTCACCTTCGCACATGTCAATGGAGCAGCCGTTCCTTCCCGTATTATCGATGCGCAAGCATATGTGGAGAATAATGTTCGAATTCCTTATTGTACTACGATTAAGCATACCGTACGCCAGTTGAGGGAGCGTTTTCGATGCTCCGATGATTGAGATGCTTACATTTGTATCTATCCACATGATCATGACCTGAATAATATGATTCAGTTTTATAAGCGCATTGATACACATCGGGTTTACTTGGATAAATTCATTGTCTCACACAAAATCATTTTTACCATGCTTTGCTTTCGATTTTTCGCTTCAGGCATGCTAATTTGTGAGGATTTCGAATTGGCTAGAATTATGGTCCACAGCTTGCAGTTTGCTTCAAGGAGAGAAGGAGTGATACAATTGTCAGGAAGATGATAGAGTGAATTTTACTGATTTCGTAGCCGCAGTAGTGAGTGGTTTACTATCGCGAGCTGATTGAGTTGTGGTGCACTAATATGGTATTAAATGCCGTCAATCACTAGAATGAGACATCTAGTGGAGTGATATTATGATCATATATAGTTAATAGAAATCCACTGTGCGACAATGACACCGGATTAATACGGCTTGCGAGGACTCTAATTACTAATTAGCACAGTATTTGATGTCGCAGGAACTGACGTCATAAAGACATTCTATCTAAGCCGTTCTTTCTTACCTCTACTCAGGTTTGGCTGTGATCGTGTCCGAATACGGAGGTTTTCAATGAAAAACGAGTAAAGACATAAGAGTGTATTTAGTGCGGAGCGCTACTTGATTAACTTATACATGCTAAGTCCCACCTCTTATGCTGATATTCCCCGCTCTGATACTATATGAATGTCGAGCTTCAGACCGCAAATAGACTCTTCCAAGTGAACGATTTATAATTACACTCTTTCAAATGCGATCTAAAAAATCCCTTAAGAGAAATATTTTGCTTTGAGAATTTGAACCAAAGTAAGTATGTAGCTTTGGATTTTAAGAAAATAATTACCAAACCCCTGCTGTGCCCAATGCATAATCAATTTATTAAAAACAATTAGAGATTTCAAAAATCTACTAAAGCACTCTCAATCTTAACTTAAAACACATTTAAAAAAAAAAAAAAAAAAAAAGGTTTTGCCATTACTAACCCTCTAATGAAATCCCCATTTTCACATATCATTAGACCGCAATAGACTCTTCCAAGTGAAATTATAATTACACTTTTCAAATGCGTCTAAAAAATCCCTTAGAGAAAAATATTTTGCTTTGAGAATTTGACCAAGAATAGTACTTGGATTTAGAAAAAATCACCAACCCTGCTTGCCAATCATATCAATATTAAAACATTAGAGATTTCAAAAATCTATAGCACTCTCATTCTTACTTAAACACATTTGTGACTAAGAAAGCCACTAATTACCAATATTATTAAAATCCTAGGTTTAATACGTGTGATCTGATCTAAATTATCAATTTCTCAATTTAACAAATAGATATAAAATTATGCAAATATGGGTACCGATATATTCACAGGCATTAAGCGCAACACATAGATCGGAAATTTTTGTATATGAACATAAATCAAACTATTCAAGGTTGCATTTTAAACTATAGAAAATCCCATATCTAGATCTGGATATTTAGCCTGGCATTATAATAAATTTATCAATCAAAATAAAATACACAAAATGAATAAAAAACATAAATGACAAACTTTGGGAGTGATTGGTTGGTTGGCCTTGGTGTTCCACGTCCCAAACTTTGAGAAATAATCTTTTGCCCCTTACTCTTTTTGTGCTGTAATAACACCAAGGCTGCTGTCTCGCTTTGTGTGGTTGCTCTAGATTGGCTCCCCGCTTTGCTCTCTTAATCATGTGGGACACATTAAGTGCCAAGGATGTCCAACCATTCAATCTTCTCTTTGTTTCCTTTATATTGAGCTTCTTACTTAGCTAGGATTGGTCAACTTCACCCACTTGCATAACTTGGTCTGAAAGCTGGTCTGCATTGCCAATGTCATGCAAAATAAATGATAAAAATAACAAAACGGGAGCTGTATCCAAAACCAGATGCATTGGTTCTCCAAAAATGGTGCAGTTTTAATCCAGATGATTTGTTAAAAGTTTTTTTCACAGAGATTATTGCTACAGGTCCAGATTCTTACACGTTACTTCTTCTTTTCTTTTTTTTTTGGGATGTATGTTTTAGGCTTCCAATTCACTAATCTCCCATGGTTAGGCTTTTTTGGTTTGGGCATGTTTTGGGCTTCAAAAATTGTTGGCTTTAAGAGTCTTCTTCTTGAGCTGATTAGAGCATCAATTGGACTATATATCGATCCATTTTTGCTAAAATCGAAGCATTTGATGTTACCAAAAGGGTGATTGAGTCAAAGATAGAAAAGAATGCAAAATGAGATTTTATTCCAAACATTTATAACTAAATTGCAACTAAATTTAATAAAAATGAACGGTAAATTATATGCATATTTTTTTGCTATCATCTTTCCTTAAGAAAATACAATACATGCTTTTTGCTTGTATCAATGAGCGAGGGAAAACCCTTGCAGAGTGAGTATTCAAAAAATGAAAATAGCATCAGTTATTGGGGGAGAGACTGCATATAGTTCCTTTATACATTGTAATCAAGTGGAGTTTGCACTGCTAGCAAGTTGGGAATACTTTAACCTAGTAAGATACATTAGCACTAAAGAAAACACTAGATTTTTGCAAATTAATTGCCTAACCTGAAATCTATTCATATGCTATAAGAATCCTCTTAATCTCCACATTCTATCATTTGCCCAAAAAAATTAAAAAAACTATCATCAACAAAGAATAGATGTAAGATACTAGGACCTCTTCTATTAATTTGGCACCCATGAATTGGGCCTCTATTTTATCTTTTTTAATTAAAGCATAAAGGGTCTTTGTATAAATAATAAATAAGGAGATAAAGGATCATTCTGACGAATTCCATACTTAGGGGTAATAGGCCTAATTTTCCCACCATTTAAATTAATTAAATATTTGACTGTAATAACACATAACATATAAGATCAACCCAAGACTGAAAAAAATCCAACATCAACATTAATAGCTTGAGAAAAGACTAATCAACCCTATCATACGCTTTGCTAATATATATTTTCAAAGTCACTTTACCATTCTCTCCAGTAGTTTTGTGCTTCGTATGATTGATACTTTTAAAAGAAATTATAATATTATCCGAAATAAGTTGCTCAAGCACAAAAGCAGAGTTATTAAAGGAAATAAGCAAAGGAAGCAAAAGTTTTAACTATTAACAAGCACCTTAGAAATCAATTCGTAAATGACATTATAAAGATATACAACAAGGATACTAGTCTATGAATAAGCATAACGATTATATCATTTCAAAATTTAAGAAACACACACTGATTCAACCATTAACAATAATTATGGACAATGTCAGTACCAAGCAAATACAAAATTTTTGGTAAAAAACAAGATTAATACCATCAAGACCAGGTCAATTATTAGGATGCATTTGAAACAGAGCTTCTCTAAATTCTTCAGGCGTAAACGACTCCATCAACTTATCATTATCCTCGGTCACTATTTTGGCTAAGACAACCAATAATATTTCATCATAGCTACTTGTATCATCTACAAATAAATCAGAAAATAAGTATGAACGAGAGAACACAATCCCGCTTGGTTAGATACCCAATTACTGGAGCTGTCTTGCAACGCTCCAACTCCATTATTTTTATCTTTAGCATAAGCCTGAACATGAAAATAATGCAAATTTTGATCACCATGTTGCAACCAAAGCGATTTAGACCTTTGCTTCCAATATTTCTCTTCTTATGCTAATTCAATATTCAATTCAACTTACAATTGTCGAACTTGACCACTTGTATTACCATTAGACGAAAAATGTTGATCCTCAAGCAAACATTTAAGTTGAGTAATTCATTTCTTAAAATTGTCAGGCAGCCCCAATGCCCAACTCTTTAAATATGCACCATACAAAGAAAATCGATCTTAAACAAGCTGGTTACTAGAGCTAGACCAGCTACCTTCAACAACAAGAACCAAGTCAGCCTATAGCAACCAAGAAATTTCCAACCTGAACCTATGTTTGATACCTTCCCACCGAACATATCCACCTCGAGTCTAAGAGGAAAGTGGTCCAAAATAGAAGCAATAATAGTTGATCATTTAGAACTTGCAAACCTGAATTGCCACAAAGCAGAAATGAGACACCAATCCAGGCATTCAAGTTTAAAATCATTCGTTTGACATCCTTTTTTCAAGTATAGCCAAACCTAAGCAAAGTCAAACCAATAAGACCACAATATTCAATAGTCTCCCTGAAGCCATTAATCAAATTAACCAAGCCATTAATCAGGATTCTCTAAGACTTTGCCATAAAATCAACCACATGAAATAATTTAAATAGGAACAGCTTGTTACCAATATCCTCTATGCGTTTCCCCCTTCCTGGTCTCCATAGCAAAGACATGGTGTTGTGCATGGATTAAAAATCAATATTTTTGTCCATCAGAAATCGCTCAACAAAGCAAAAATTCGTGTCAAATTCTAGGATGGAGGATCCCCACTGTTGTACCAAGACTTCATCGTTCTCCATTTTAGGTAACGACAGATTTCACTAACGAGTATTCCATGGAAGCCGCAAAGATAAATGGACAAAGAAAACCCTAGTTAAACCCTAAAAAACTTGCATGAATCAAGAGAGAAATTTACATACACGCAAGGCTTTTTTAATAAGTGAAAAGACCAAATTCCAAAATGAAACAACATCCAATAGTGGGCCTTGGGCCCGATGAAGCTAGTCCAGTCCGGGCCGTAAAGTCAAACCGGCCCCCTTGTTTCACTTTCCGTTTGTCGTCGTTCCATTTTCAGCAGCAAGAGAGCATAGTGGTTTTCTTCTCCTAGTGTGTCTCTCTCTCTCTCTCTCTCTCTTTCTTCTTCGTTGAAACTACAAATACCAGACCAAGAAAAAGAGCTCTGTATTCTTTTTAAATTTTTCTGTTTATTCTTTCTCTTTAAGGAAAATGGAAAACCTGAATATGGCGTTACTCTCATCCTCATCTTCTTCTTCTCCAAAATTGGTTATAGGTTATCCTACCTCTCCGAAAAACCCTATGGTTACTCGGCAAGTCTCCAAAACCAAAGCCCTTCCCTTCCATCTTAGAAATTACAGGATTGTCCCTCGAAATTCCAGAACTTTCATCTCTGCCCTCACCCACTCTCATACTTCCGGTGGCAGGCCTTCAAGAGTTTCGCAAATTAGTAAATTTCAAATTTTGTCTATTCTCACTCGAACTCACTCACTTCATCTTATTAGTAAATTTCAAATTTTGTCTATTCTCACTCGAACTCACTCACTTCATCTTATTAGTAAATTTCAAATTTTGTCTATTCTCACTCGAACTCACTCACTTCATCTTATTAGTAAATTTCAAATTTTGTCTATTCTCACTCGAACTCACTCACTTCATCTTATTAGTAAATTTCAAATTTTGTCTATTCTCACTCGAACTCACTCACTTCATCTTTCCGGTGGCAGGCCTCAGAGTTTCGCAATTAGTACTTTCAAATTTTGTCGTAATTCTCACACTCGACTCCACTCACTTCATTTTTTAGGTAAATTATTAGTAAATTTCAAATTTTGTCTATTCTCACTCGAACTCACTCACTTCATCTTATTAGTAAATTTCAAATTTTGTCTATTCTCACTCGAACTCACTCACTTCATCTTATTAGTAAATTTCAAATTTTGTCTATTCTCACTCGAACTCACTCACTTCATCTTATTAGTAAATTTCAAATTTTGTCTATTCTCACTCGAACTCACTCACTTCATCTTTTTGTATATTTGAACATACACTAATGTGTAATTATTATTGATAATGATTTCATAGGGAGATTAGGTACTGAACATTTTGCGAGTATTTCTTCATCGAATGGTCAGCAAACTTCTTCAGTTGGGTTTAGCCCACAACCAGTGCCACCTCCTTCTTCGCAATTGTTAGTATATTTAATAATAGTTTTCATTTTAATTGGCTTGGAGCTTGGATGATCTTAATATTCTTATTTTTTTTTTTTCTTTTTTTTGCCTAATAATGTTTGTAGTGGTTCACCTCTGTTTTGGGTTGGAATTGGTGTTGGGTTATCGGCATTATTTTCATGGGTGAGAATATGAACTACTTACTGATACCCAGTTCACAATTTGTTTACGCATGCATATGTAACATCTGTTCCGTATGCTTCTTTTACTTTCTTTCTGCTGCTTTACATTAAAATGTTTAATTCATTTGCAGGCGGCTTCCAATTTAAAGGTGAGTGTTTCTCTCTTGTAAGGTACACATATCTTTGCTTTCTGTTTAACTTCTTTGTATTGTTGGCTGCATCTGTTATGAAGTAATTCAACTGATATGAAGGAAAATATTTGTTGACATCCTGGTGCTTGTTATGTGTTGAATTTAAACTGTTTATTCAAAAAGTGTATATTTTAGATTACACTAACTCTGCTGTGTGCTTACTTGGGAGTCCTCGGAATAATGTTCTTTAATTGTTTTTTAGAACAAGACAAAATATTATTGAGAAAAAAAGAAATGAATGTTCATAAAGAGACAAGAAATCCTCCATAACTCAAGAAAACAACCAACAACTAGAAACATAAAACAGAAGCTAAAAAAGTAATGCACTTAGATCAAGTGGGATAACCTCCAAAGAGACCTCTCTGAAGCTCTAGAAGCGTCAGCCTATGCAAAACCCAATAAAACCACCTTGGCCCCCAACAAATTAACGGACATGTTCTTATTCTTACCTTTATTTGCAACCCAAGTTGAACCAAATAAGTTTTGACTAGCTGAGATTGCATTGACCCTTTTCCTCCATAAGAACTACTCAATCTCGATCTTTTAATTAGCTGTTGCATTATGTATGATTTTTGCAACACTTCTGTGTGTGAGATTTTTGGTCCAACTTTCTCTTTGTTGTTACTTAGACCTTTCTTTTCTACATTGTTGCGTTCATAATTGGGCATGGCCTGCCAAACAATTTAGTTCGCCCTTCCTCAACTTGTAAACATTGGATGTCATCTCCATCAAGCTTGGGACATACTTATTTCTTATCTTATACTAGTTATTTTTAGTTATTTTTGTGCATGCATCTTAACATCCTTGTTCTGACCATTCTTGCATTAGGATCATCTCTCTCTTTTAAGCTGCCTGGCCTGGTATTCATTCCATAGAATGTTATTTGTTCAATCAAGGCTTTATAGAAATTTTATGTTTATTTCGATTAGGATTAGAAGTGGATTAATTTTTATTTTACTTGCCTTTTTTTAAAAGAGAAAATCTTGAGAAAAGTGATAAAGACCACCATTCATGGTCTAAATCTATCAAAGTACTTATCTTCTCTTGGATGATACTCTAATACTGATTATCCTAGAAAGATTGAAGAATCAATTTGGGGAAGGTGGAGAACTTCATGTCATTAATATCATCAACAACAAAAGGCGTTCATATGTGATAAAGGCTCTCTATTATTTGTACCTTAAGATTTTGTTTGTGATAAAGGCTCTCTATTACATTGGCATTTTAAAACTTGAATTCAGTTATTATCCATCCTTGGAACTATTAGAAAATTCAAGAGTATACTTTAAACTATGGTTTAGGGCTCCTTGGTATCCTTTGAAGTCTTATTGAATGAACATGTGTTCTTACTTTAGGTTAGGAATATAGTGTTTGCTTGGCTGTTCCTTAATTTAATGAGTCGAATGTTAGGCTGTTGTCAGTATGAATTCTACAGGTGAATATTTGTCACGTGGTCTTAATATTTGGGCCTAATTGGGATAAAAGCTAATTTGTTGGTTGTCAAAATCCTAATGGGGTTAGAATATGAAATATATTGAATTTCTGGTGTCTGAGTAACTTTATAATGTATTTTTGATGTTGATCGTGATGCTTAAGGTGTTCTACTGTGAACCTTGGGATTCAATCTTATAAATAATTCTGTAAGCAAATGGTTGTGATGTGAGATATGATTTTGTTCCATCAAGTATAAAATCCTAAATCCTCTGCAATGTTAATTAAATTTCATTTTTATCTCGGACATATATTTAGAAATTAAAAGCTCAGAGTTCTTAACAGTTAACTCTAAGCCAATAAAGAAGATATTTTTGGTCATAAGCAAATTGGTCTGCGTGGTTGTTTAAAGCATATGTCGCTACCGCTGGTTTAGTCTTTATTATTATTTTTATCATCATCATCATCATCTAATTCTTAGGTGCTGCATGCACTGCTTATTGCATAGCAGATATAAATTAACCCGTCGCTAAATTCTATTACTGGCATTCCAAATTCCTATTATCTAAAAGGCTATTCAAATACTAATATCTGAGATTTCTCAATTACCAGGTCTTTTTTCCTTCAATTAACTATCAAACACCATTTCAATACTTCCTAGATTCTGTTGTTGTGGTGCAATATAACAAACCAAATTGGTTTCTTATTTTTCTTTCATCTTTATACCACCAAAAAAATGCACTTCATTTCCAAAGTACTTTGCATCGAATTCCCCGCACATTTTTCTAATGCTTAAATCTTTGAGAGGAGACAAATCCTTGCAATCAGGACTATGATTCCTGTTGCTGAAGATCCCTGCTTTTGTCCTAAAATTGTTGCTGAGTTTTGATAACTTTAGATCATTTCATCAAGTTAATGACTCTATGTATGGCATTTTCTTATTTCACAGTTTTTTTTTCCCTTAGTCAATACTCTTTAAGCTACCAACCATTGAATGGAAACATTATTGAGGACACTAATAGCAATTGTGTTTAGATGTTATTTTCAGCACTTGATGAGGTTATCAAACACTCTTTCCATTTTAGTCATCCAATACGTTTCTCTTGTGCAACCTGTGCCTGAAATTTTTAAACGAACCAATGCTTGGTTATAACTGTTACTGTGGGTCAAATGAAACAAAGAAAGAGTTTGAATTACCAGATTGAGCATGAGCATTGAGCTAGAATGATGATACATGTTTGCTGGTTCATATCATGAATTTTCCTTGCTGCTGCATCTTCGTTTACTCTTTCTCCAAGCACATATCAATATCTCTGTCTCTGCAGATTAGTACATTTGGGTATAAGTTTGCTACGGATGAGATCTTTCATTGCTGTATAATTTGGTCATGACCAGTATTGCAAGTCTTGTGGGTACACAGGAAAAAATCTCAACCCAACAAATATAATATGTGATAGTATAAAAATAGTAATACATCTCATGCTATTTTGTTCTGCTGGCGATTGGAATATGGGAAGCTAATGTGTCAAGCACCTCCTGCTACAAGTTATTGTAAAGATAATTTAATATGGAAATTAACTTCTGGAGCTGGATTCAAGAATAATCCACATATCATCTAAATTGTGTATGCTTGAGGTAGTCGAAGAACCGCATTTATATGAATTTTGGACCATTCTTTAAATATAGCATGCGATATAGTGCTTTGTAACTGGAGATGGGTTAATCATGCAGAATAGTATTTCTGGCTAGAAAAATTTAATGGTGTAAGTTTGGTAGTGTGATCTCCTTTTCTCACTTTTCGCTACAATGTATATTTTCTTCCCAAAGAACATAAACAAATGCCCTTGTCCTCTATGAATTTATTTAATTTTTTTATTCATTCTGTTAATAAATTTTTTGATGAGAAATTTTTTATTCATTCATTGTTTCCTTTTTGACTTATGACAAGAAATGGTCCTGTCTCTTAAATTTTGTCCTCTTTTTAATCTTTGTGAAGCTTTTATTTCTATTTAATATGATAAAGTCATTCCCATTTGCCTTTGGATTGGTAGGTTTAATCCATTCCATTTGGTGCATATGGATCTCATTGCCTTAGTTTTGACACTTATTTGAGTTTATTATTTTGTCAGTATGCCATTCTTCCACCCGTGAGGATATAAATTTTCTCTTTTAGTTGTTAATATAATTCAAAAACGTACACTACTGTTTTAAGAAGATTCACTTGTTTGGTGATTGAAATCTATGTTTCTTGTTCTTCTGCCATTATCCTCATCAAGTTTGTTCCATACTTCCATATATTTTAAAGTTTTGACATTCAATCATTTTGACATCCAATTTCAATTTTCATGATTTTACAATCTTGACATATTTGGTGCATGCCTTCCTCTGTGGATGGTAATCTATTTGAACAACATTTTTTTCTACTTCTCTATCCAATATTTTTGTTTCATTTCCCCTTTCAAATATTGAAGCTGTCCTACTGGATTTAGTTTGGCTTCATGATTAAGTGAAGTTTCTGGCAAGATAGATTTTGCTTGAGCTGGTTCAATTCTTCTTGGAAAAAAATAAAGAATTATGCATGCAACTTTTAGAAGTAGCTTTCCAACAAATAATAAATCTTTGATTGTCATTTGTTTTTTCTAGTAGAAACAATTGCACTTTTCTTTTTCCCGAGTACACTATTTTTGTGGCCTGTCATGTTTTGGTTCTTTTTGTATCCCTCGTGTCAGATAAAATAATACAACTCCCCTTTCTAATAAAGGAAGTTTGTCAATAGTATAACAAGAGAGTCTCCGTGTTCTCATTGTTATAAGCTTGTTGTGGATATGTATTTGGATATCCCTCTTTTAAGAATAGCTAAAACTACAGTCATATTATACAAAATTAACTCATCTTTTGTTTCAGAAATATGCCATGCAACAAGCTTTCAAAACTATGATGAATCAGATGAATACACCAAATAATCAATTCAATACTCCTGGCTTTTCTCCGGGCTCCCCCTTTCCATTCCCAACAACTCCAACATCAGGGCCCATTAGCTCACCGCCATTTCCAACACCATCTACAGCTGGACCTGCTTCCACCACTTCATATCCAACATCATCAGCATCAATGGGTGTTTCCTCCTCTTCTCCAGTTGCTTCTCGACCTGGAATTACTGTAGATATTCCTGCAACAAAAGTAGAAGCATCTCCAACGACTGATGCCCGAGATGAAACAGAGATAAAGAAGGAACCTAAGAAATATGGTAAAAAGATATTTGCTTGTTAATGCCATAGATCTTTTGCAAGAATCTTTAGTTTCCAGTACAATGAACATTTTGAAATAATTGGGTTTTGGTTTATGAGGTTTGCAAATGAATGTATATGCATATAAGTTCAACTGCAACTGCCTGGCTTTGAGCCTTTAGCACTTCCTATAGAGTTTTCAGATGGTAAAGTGATTCTTTATTACATTACTTATCAATGTTGAAAATTGGAGACTCACTGATCGACAAGCTTAAATTTCAAAGTCTTTCCAAATTATTTTGAATTTGACATAGGGCTCATTAAGAGTTGGCATTTTAGAGATTGTGGAATCGGGTTACAAAGAAATTGTTCACATTGCTCATATTTGGACATTGTGTTGATGGAAATAACTTGATGATTCCCTTGCTGTAAAAGGGTTTTATGATGTGCCCCATAAGCACTAACATGGACTGAAGGTTATGCTATCATAGACAAATGTTTGCACATAGAGATTCAAAGATGGATTACATCTTGTAATGAAATATGAATGGTCATCTTTCTTAATGCCTTGTGGTGTACTTGAGTTTGCATCTTGAAAAGGCAGAGTATTTTTGTTTGTCGTTTATTCATTAGTTTTCAGAGTTTTACGTGATTGGGGCTTTTAAAGATTGTAGGTCCTTTGCAAATCTTTTCTGAAAGGAAGTCTAATGCAACTTATACTTACAGCTTTTGTAGATGTCTCTCCTGAAGAAACCTTGCCAAAGAGTCCTTTTAGCAGCAATGAAGATATTTCAGAAAGAAGCTCATCCAAGGAGGCTCAGTTTGCCCAAGAAGTATTGCTTTGTCTCTAACTTTTGTTATTTCTTAGCTATATACTGTATTAGTATGAATTCATAATATTTTGATGGGACCTTATATTGAAGGTTTTTCAAAATGGAGCTGCTCCTAACCAGGGTCCTAGTGATACTGGGAGTTCTCAATTTACACGTGAGTAAAACTTGCAGTTTCCCAGTGCGGTTTGTGTTCGTAAGATTTCAATGTATGAATGCTAGCTTCTTGCACTTAGCAATCATCATATCGAATATCTAGATTAATCTGGTTCTAGGTTGAGGCTTTATTTTTATGACTATTGAAGGGAAGCGTAGCATTGGTTGATAGAGGGCTGGGTGGCTCGCAGATGCAAGGTTGCTTTATGTGTATGTGCATTCATTTCTATTCACTCTGGATAGCCATTACATTGTTCGAGTGAATCATCAATCTAGATCAAAATTCGTTGCCATCCACTTTTTATTATTCTCATAAAATGATATGAAGAAATTTTACATTCAAATCAGCAGTTATCATTTCTGTTCAATTTGAGATGGAAGTTTAATTTTAATTTGATGTGGATTTGGGGTCCAATATTCTGCTTGGCCGCCATTTATTGCCTTGACTTCTAATTTCTTTAATGATTTAATATAATCCTAAATGAGTCCATATTTATTCATGGATAGGAAAAGCGGGCTCTGGCTTATCTGTCGAAGCTTTGGAGAAAATGATGGATGATCCAACTGTGCAGAAGATGGTTTATCCGTAATATATCTTCTTTACCTTGAAACTTTTTTGCATTTCTAGTGTGACTATCCTTTGTGTCGATGCTCTATTCTTCTTACATTCCACTATTTGGCGGTATGCTTGTCAGTTCTATTAGTTGCATTACTCTTCGTTTGTGTGACTTACAACGTGATTCTTTTTGGGCTCTTTATAAGTTGGTTACATGTGTTTCTTGTCTTTTTATCCTTTTAGATATTTACCTGAGGAGATGAGGAACCCTTCAACTTTCAAATGTAAGTTGAATCTCCATTAATGTATATTCTCTTATAAAGTCAGATTTGGGAGTTTAGGTGAAAATCTGATTTACTGCAGCCAGTTGTATTTGTTAGATATTCATGTCTTATTATTCGTATTTTAGTAAGATTATATTGCATTACTACGTGATTACAAGACATGCAATATGTTTTTCTAGTCTTGCTTTTCTTTTTTCTTTTCTTTTCTTTTCTCTCTCTCATTTTTGTTTGTACTTCGTTCAATTGTCAACAAGGTCATAGCTTTCAAGAGTGACTCATGTTGTATATAAAATTTCCATTAGTTCTGTTTATTTCAGCTAATTGCTGTGTTTTTTTTCTTCCATGCCAGTGTAAATAGGACCTAGTCAACATGTTATTTAATGAAACATAAATCTTGTTGTGATTTTTATAGGGATGCTTCAAAATCCACAATACCGTCAACAACTGGAAGAAATGCTGTAAGTCCCTTTTCCACCTCTACTGAAGCTTTTGATTTTGTTCAAGGATGCTTGATAGTTGATATTCTAGTGCATGCATTCCAGGTCTTATTGATGTGGAATCTATTGATATAAGCCTGTTGTTCTGATATTGCGTAGCATTTATAAACTTGGTGACCTTGGAAATTTTAGAGACACATTTCATCATCCTTTTTTTCAATGCTGCAAAACTTGTCGTATATTTATGATTTCTTAGATTTCAGGTGCTGTATTGCATTGTAATCTCTATTAATTCCTTGGTGTGTTCAGTACAAGATTGAGATTACAATGATGATTCTGTTTGTATGGCATTTGCTTTGTTTAGATTTGGCTTCACGAATACTAGGGAGATGCTTTGAATTTTGTGTTGTTGGTGCTCTTAGATTTGATGCTCAGTTAAGTCTTTGATGCAGAAAAAGAATCTGAAAATGGGTTATGCTTCAGAATTATTATGATAGTGTATGTTATAGTATTTTAGAGTCTTATTTATATCTATTTAGATAAATTAGATGCTAGTTTATTATTTTAAATTTAAAGGGAATTTTGTACACTTCAAGCTTTGTTGGAATGCCCTATTTCTGTAGGATTCTTTATATGTATTTTGTCTTAATCTTGAGTCCTTGTTGGGTTGGTATTTAATTTATTTTTGAGAATCCACATCCTTAGAGGATGTATACAAATTTTTGTAGTCCTTTTCTTAAAGGCTTAGAAGTTCTAAGTCCTTTCCACAAAAGATTAGCTTTAGATTTAAGTCCATAAATACCTAAGATAAATACCCAAGACTAGTACTTTTAATTCGGTTTTGGGTTAATAAAATTACTAGTGGTTATGCTTCTTCGAGTTGTGTGGTGCAATTGAACCCTAGGTGTGACTAGAGCTGGCAATTTTCAACACAACCTGTTTAAATGATATGACACGACAATATATAGGTTTGGGTCATGAATGGGTCAACCTGTTTATGAGACACTTCGAATGGTTTCTTAAGCGGGTCGACGGTTGAGCTGCCTAATCCATTAATTAATCATGTTCATAGGTTAATATAAAATATATAGAGGTGTAAATGAGCTTAGAGCTTGAGCTCCCCATGCTTGAAGTTCGACGAGCTTGGAAATTTTGAGCTCGAGCTTGGCTTGAGTTCGGCTCAACCCAAACCTTGTTATTTCGAGCTGATAAGGCTCGACGAGCTTTCGAGCCGAATTTTATTAGGTTTGAGCTCAGCTCGTTTGCTAAACAAGCCAAGCTCGAGCTTGATTCAAGCCAAACCTTTTCAGACTGAGCTTGAACAGCTTGCAAGCCAGTTCAACTCATTTACATCCCTACAATACATGACCCAATTAGATCTACAAGGAACTGTTTAATTTGACTTATTTATTTAACGGCTTACACAGGTTGTGTCATGTAACCTGTTTATTGATATGATGTCTGTGAAAGCGTTGAGAGTTTTAAGACATTTATTTGGATGGGTCGTGTTTGGGTTGAGCATATTTTTTTAATACTTGTGTGTTGACACAATCTGTTTATGATGCGAAAACATGAATTGCCAGCCCTCAGTGTCATGCCATGTGACCTTGGATGTGATACCTAAGGAAATTTAGGTGTGAAGCATAAATTTTTATATTTTTGCTATTCATCAAGTTGTTTTTCACTGATATTGTTCATGAACACTGGTCACACCGCTCTACTTCCTCCTTTTGTGTTCTCTTTGCTTCTTTAACATATTCCCATATAATCCCTAATTGTTCCTTATATATTTACCCATTCTAAACCAAAATCATCTGATCTAATCAACCCGCAAGCTATCCTACTTTCTGGCTTAGTTGGTTCTATAAGGCTCCATATGTTTCAAAAGAAATATTTAACCAGAAAATATTTACCTTGTTTTAGAGAATTGGTCAAGGAAAATGTTTTCTTGATTAAAAGGAAAACTGGTTCATTTTTTTTCAAGAGAGGAAGTTATCCTAAAATGAAAAATCATTTTCTAGACTTTAACAAAATCATAATGGAAGGAACCTATAGTAGAACCAATTGAGCAAATACAATTTACAATTTCATGTGCATTATATTTCAAATTAATCAATATATAGGAAAATGTTAAGTTTTTATGTGTCCAAACATTTTTTAGTCTATATGCTAAATAATAATAATAATAATAATAATAATAGTAATCTCCGACTGATTTTTAAGTATTGGAAGCAAACAAAAGTTTCCAGTGAAAAATGGAGCCTAGAGTTGATCTCCTTTAATGTGATGCCAATCAGATGATGGAGATACAATTTACCTCTTCCACGATTATCTCACTGTGGGATTGCTTCTGTCTATCTGAAATTCAGATGGAGTTTTTGTGTGTTGAGGGGTGGGGGAGGAAAGTAGTTTGCTTGCATCATCCTTGGCTATCATTGCATTTTGGTTCTTTCTCTTTACACATTTCAAATTAATTGTTGGTGTATCATGTGAAGGCCTCAAAATAACCAATTAAAAACTAGATCTGACTAGAAGAGAAAGAATCACGATATTAGTAGGTTATTGTGGTGATAAAGATGTAAAGAGGATATGAAAAGGGATGAGAATTGAAGTATTTTCTTGTGTTATATCTGTTTGGTTTGAGAATCCTTAAATCCACTGAGAATGAATTTTGGGTCTTGGGTCTGACTTCTATATCCTTCCTCTGTCAAGTGTATATTACCTCTGTTCCTGGGGTTTGTCACCCATTCACGATGCCTTTGCCAACAACATACATGTAGTCTTATTAGGTGTTCTCTCCACAGATTCATGGTTCTTCTCCTGAACTGGAAAAGATGTTTCTAGTTACCATTGACTACAAGTTGATTGTTGATTATGTTATATAATTGTATAGGCGTGCACTGATGCACACAGACTCACAGTATTGCTGCTGAGCACACAGACCATATGGGATAGTGGGAGTGCAAACCTAAACTCTATTTATATGTGGATGAGCTACCTTATGTACTGATTCCAATTTGGGGAGTATTTCACTGATTTTTCCTCTGATTTAGTAGAGTCCAGTTCTTTATCCTTATTCATGCAAGCAAATGATACTTTACGGTTTAGGAGAGGGGTTCTCGAGTAATATAGATGCACAGAATAACTTTTGTGTTCATCATTTCTTTTTTAACATCTGCTTTATGCTTTGATATAAGAACTTCTGTTATAGTATCTCCTTAGCACCATCCTTCAAATACTAACTTATGGTATTAATATATAATACCTGCTCAACATAATTAAGTCTTTATCTCAGACTAGTTATGTCATCTATACTATTAAATGATTTATCACCTTAGGTCCATTGAGTTCCTTTTTTAATGAACCTAGCCTGAGATAAATGGATCTAAGTTCTTTGTTCCACTTGTTTGTTTCAGAAATAATATGGGTGGAAGCGGTGAATGGGACAACCGGATGATGGATTCCTTGAAAAATTTTGATCTCAGTAGTCCTGAGGTTAAACAACAATTTGGTGAGTTAAACACTTATATATTTTTTTCCCTTTACATTAATGTGCTGAAATTTGACAAGTTGTCATATTGACAGTGTGATTGTATTTTTGACTTTCCAACTCTCCCACTCTCCCCCTTCTTGTTACTATATGTTCTCTCTTCCAGTTTACTATCTACCATCAGTCCTCAAGTAAGTTACTGCATCATCAATCCTGAAATGAGTTAGTGCTCCTGTGGTATAATCCTTTATTAGATTGCTTATTTAGCTCTCGAGGTTTATCAGTTAGCTTGGCCTTGTGTAACAAATTTTTTTTTTTTGTTTTGTTTTTCTTTTTCCTTTACAAGAAATTGTTCTTTAGTAGATCATTTAGTATATAAAATTGGGCCCATGATCTCTAGAAGTGCCTATTCTTCGTCAATGAATAATTAAGACATGAGGATATAATATCAGAATTCAACTTACCCTTTGATTACAGGATTTATGTAGAGGATGCATCACGGCTATCTGATTTATTCAAAACTTGCTTTATTGTGTTCTCCAATATGATTATAGTTATGATGCCTAATATTTTACATGGTTAATTTTGTCTTATGTTACTATAAACTTTGCATGGTTACAAGATGAGAATTGGAGAGGTGGGGGGTATTTTTTGAAAAGAAGGAATAAGTCAAACTAAAAGCTTGGATTCAAATATTATATTCAGTGCAACATGAAGTAATTATTTATTTTGTCTCCTTACTCATGGTGTCTACATTTTGCAGATCAAATTGGCCTTACACCTGAAGAAGTAATCTCAAAAATCATGGCCAATCCTGATGTGGCCCTTGCATTTCAAAATCCAAGAGTTCAACAAGCCATAATGGATGTATGTCCTAGCTAACTTATAAATTTGATGTTGCCATTAAAATCAACTTATTAATGTTTGTTTGTTTTGCAGTGTTCGCAAAACCCACTTAGTATAGCCAAATATCAGAATGACAAGGAGGTAAAGCCAAACTCTTCTCTTCTCTCTTCTGATCTCAGGCATGCTTGATCAATCAAATTATTATTATTATTATTATTATTTAATATTTTTACCAATATCTATTTTTCTTCTAAAAGTCTAATATAACATGTTATGTTTCCAGTGAGTATTTAATATTCAAAATGTTCATTAGTCAACTTAAAGGTGCTTTTGGCATTAAATTACTTGAAATAATTGCGGTGAATTTTTAAGAGATTGCAGATAATTTTTTTGTTTTTTTGTGCACTCTATTTTGCCACCTCGGATGGTGGCATTCTTGTCTCCGTTAATCGTACATTTAGTTTTTTGTTTCCAGTGAACCATTTTGGTCAATAGGACATTTAATTACGTGTATAATGAAAATAAATGATATTCTATTTTCATTTCAGGTTATGGATGTCTTCAACAAGATATCAGAACTCTTCCCTGGGGTTACAGGTTCATCATAGTCCCGTCTCATCATTCATGCACAACAGCTGTTCCCATAGCTAAATTCACCGGCAGATTTCCAGTGGGTGGGGCAATTGGCGCCTACTGGATTCTCAGTGCTGATATGAAAAGCATTCAAAATTTTTGATATTCCCCCCTGTTGACTTTTTTGTGAAATAGAGCCTAGTTTTAGTTTAAGTTGGAAAAGATACTGAGATATTCTTATAACATAACTAAATAATTAGCATTTCTTCTATGTTAGAATCTATCTCCCAGAAATGGGCGCACCTTGATTTTAAGGTCATTAGTTTAGCTAAATGAATGCAGAGAGGTAGCCAATAAAATAAAATCCATCAGATGTACAACCAAGCTTATGTTTAGAAGGATATGATAGAACAGAACAGAACTATAGACTATAGAGTGTAGTAGAAGAAATGAAATGAGTATTGTATTTTATGTTTGGTTGCAGAATTGGAAAGTAGTGTATTATAACTAAAAAACTATTTCTATATTTAGTAAAGTTTAAGTAGAATTTGTTATGATTAATAAAATTGACAGAATGGTAAATTGACAATAATCACAGTAGGAGAGAATTACTTTGTTGTGTGGTCACAATATTAGTGACAGAATTATAAGTTGCACAAAGTACTAGTTCATAATGGTTATTGGTCTTAAATTCTATGCAAGATGTCATCAAGGGCCACAACAATATTTCCATAGTATTGCCATACACGCGAGCCATCTTTGTCTCTTGCTGCATAATCTAGCTGCAGATTCAATTAAAAAGAATATCAATTCTCTCAATAATATTTTCCTAGTAAACAAAGATTATGGCCAAGAGACATGATTGAGTAAAGGAGACTTGCATGCATGAAATAATCAATTCAATAACTAAACGCTTAATGCAAAAATTTGACCTTTGAACTTTAACTTTGGTTGATTATCCTTGTAGCCTCTTGAATTTTACGAGGGTTCAATCATGACTCTACACTTTTATAATTCAATAATAACCACACCTTTTGCCAAAATAAAATATCTTTGCAGGGGTTCAATTATGACCTTATACTTTCACATTTCATTTTGGCGAAAGGCAAGATTATTATTGAAATGTGAAAGTGTAGGGTCATAATGAGTTCTTTACAAAGTTCAAGGCGCTACAAAGATAATCGACACAAAGTACATGGTCAAATTTATGCATTAGACCAATAACTAATCGTTGTGAATAGCTTGGAAAAGGGAATGACATCACTGTTTCATCCTTGAGATGAAAAGTATGACCATTAAAGTAGTTAATCTTCACCATGTCCATTGCCTATGGACTATGGTGCTAAAATGAGACTTGACTTAAATGAATCATAGTAATAGCCTATTTGGCACGCTATTTCAAACGTTGTATTTTAGAATGTTGTCTAGCTATTCCAAAATTATGTGAATTATTTTTAAACAAGCTTTAATGATCTATAATCAACATTTCCACAAACTTTTCTTTTCTTTTTTTTAATAATAGCAACTCGACCTGTAATGGCAAATAGACCAACCAGAGTTCAAACATGCAATCTCACAAGGTAATGACAAAACAGCGAACAGCCCAACCCTTGGAACATACTACATCCCTAGGTGGCGAAGAGCCCACATTGAGGTGCCAAACCTTTCCGTCCGCTGTGCTACCGAAGGTTCTGGGGAAGTCAAAATAGGAGAACACTTATCTTCGGTAGACTTACTACTTGGATGCTTTTAACAGTTATCCAACCTTACATGACTGGAGTTCAAACATGTGACCTCCAATACCATTGATTCAAAGCTAAAAGAATGTGAAGTGAACTAATGCATGAAGCATCCTACATGTATGGTTTTGGGGAGGATTACTTATGCAGCTTCCCATGCTTTTGCAGAGAGGAGTAACTTTATTGTTACACCAAAATCACCCTTTAATCCAAAGCTAAGCATTGATAAGAATTTAATTTTAGTGTACTATAATTACAATTCAAACACGCATTTTGAAAAGGCAACAATCTACTGTAAATTTATTGTTATAGTGCATTGAGAATCATAGAATCAACAAACAGAAGACGTTTAGCATAACTTACCTTGGTAACATTATTGAATAGATCAGAATAGAGCTTCCTCAGCTGAGGCCTTTCACTTCCAGGTTTACTTTGAATTATGGTATAAATGTCGAGTTTCAAGTTTGATGAGCTTCGTCGCAGCTCTTTCTGAGCTTCACGCCAAGATTCTGACTCTAGCAAACCTTTAATATCTAACAAAGATTGAGCATGGTCTCTAATTACACTCTCTGCCTCTTCAATTGTTTGATCAGGAGCTACCATTCTCATATCCAACCCAAATGCAATTTCTGGTTTCAGTATTGCTTTCCTTGCCAATATAACTGAACCAACTGCAACTATTGCTCCTATTCTTCTATTGATATTGGATTGGAGAAGCTTCTGAGGAGACATTATCTCTTTGGAGTGAAAAGTGGGTTTTAGGCAGCAGAGTAAGGTTGGTAGATTTTGAATTGACACTGAAGGTCTTAATGCCATCTCTTTTTTCAGAGTAATTTGACTACTTAATACTCCAATAGAATATCAACTGCACAAGGGGAAAGAAAGTCATCACTCATGGCTATTTTTATCTTTGTAGAAGAAACTGAACTTACAGAATTCAGACAACTGAAATACATGTAAGATAATATACTTCTGATTAGTAAGAATGGGAGCCAATTTTCATGCCTGAAATACCCATAAAATTAGAAACAAAATAAGGTATCTAAATGCAGTAAGCTACCATCATTGCAAGGTTATCTGTCATGTCCAGCCTTCCTCTTAACTAATCTAATTGCAAGTGATAATAGTGAACAGAGGTAAGAAAATGAACAAAGAGATATAAAACACATTTGGGTTTCTCCAAGCAGTTTGCTGACTTCAAATTCTTCAGGGTTAATCTTTGTATGATAAGAATTAAACATCAAAATACTTAATTGGGTTTTGATTCCAAAGGAAAAACAAGGGAACAGCAATAGAAAATGATTCCAAAAACAATGTCAAGAGAACCAAATCATGAGACACCAGATAATTTGTTATTCCTATGATTCAATAACACGAGTTCTTCAAAAGAACAGGAAGGAAGGGAGGGAGATAGAGAGACAGAGAAAGAGGTTGGAGTATCATACAATAGACTTACTAGTTGGCATTATGACTGTGATGAGACTTCCATTTCCCAGCAAACGAAAAGCTTATCCATTTGAACTAAAAAGGCATTTGACAGAAAAGACAAGTACCTTTTTGTCAGATTTTATTTTCCTCTCTAGTTTTCCTTCTATTTTTTTTTTTTTTTAATATTCACCAGAAGTCAAATTCTCATGATAAATTTGTATCTAAATTATAGTTAAATTCACTATGAAGCGTTAACTTTTTACTTTAAAAAAAAACCATAAAGAATTTAACTTAAGATTTGGTTGGCACTTTTGAAATGTCAGAATTTTAGTGTTGATTATATTTTTGGAAAAAAAAAAAAATCAAATCCATAGCGGAAAATAAAAATCACAGATATATACCGTCCGATTGCATCCGCACAATGCCTCGAGTACAGCTGCAACTACAATAGCATTCCAACTGCCGAAATAAATAACCCACAAAACAGTTTTGCGCGCGACTCATTTGTGTCTCCATTTCAGCGACAAAAATGCGTAGAGGTCCTTCCTTTTCACTCCTCTCTATTCTATTCAGTAAACCCTAATTAAACCCTCAATTTCCCATTTTCTGTTATTTTCACATTTTTCTCTTTTTTCTGTACATATGTACACCTATGGAATTGCCCTAGGTCTTGATTGGTATTTCTTTTTTGATTTAGCGTGGTTCTGTTTGGTTGCCGAGAAAATTTCCAGCAAAAAGAAGTGAATATTTATGTGTGATTTTTACAGGGAAGGAGAATGCGATGGACACTGGAAAAGAAAGTCTGGCCGAAATGTCAATTGACGCAGTAGACAAACTTGTCAGACGTGTCAATGGGCGTAGGTCATCAGGGGCAGGAGGAAATGGCAAACAGCGAGTTGATGATACAAGAGTTACATGGAATGATTTGGATAATTCCATTGATGGAGGGAGTTTGAAGGATTCTTTAAGAAATAGTGAAGGAGAAGCTGAAACAGATGATATTGATTGGGAAGATGGTTCTACTCCAATTAAGGATTCTTTGAATAATGATAATCATGTTGGTGATGATGTATCTAGGACGGTGACTATTGAGTTTAGTGAGTCTCCTGATTCTGCAAAACGGAAGCCTATTCGTCGCGCCACTGCTGAAGAAAAGGTGAATTGAATTTCTTTTGATAATGTGGGGCACATGGGATTTTTTGACTGAATAAAAAGGTCATGTCTTTTTAATTTTTTTTAAGACAACCTTCTCCTGCAGGAATTGGCAGAGCTTGTGCATAAGGTTCACTTACTTTGTTTACTTGCTAGGGGCAGAATAGTTGATAGTGCTTGTGATGATCCTCTTATCCAGGTTGGTTGTGTCTTCATTATTGTATCACAAACGTTATTATCACTCAAATTTTACCCTTTGTTTATTTTTTGCATTTTTTTTCTTTTATTTTTGCGAAGCCTTTAGTCTGCAATCACCTTCATTAATTTCGGAAGTCCTCTGTTTCAGTCCTTGTATGAGATTCTTTGTTTGATTCTTGTCATATAAAGGTTGCCTTTGGATGTGCAACCAGTTCCAAGTCTTTGAATTTGACCTTTTTGGGAAAAATCCTAGAAATAAGTAGTGTGCTTTTTCTCTTACAATGATAAAATGTGTTTCTTTTTTAGAACAAAATTTTATTCAAATAATGATATGGAGATGGACAATTTTATATTTAATCTTGCAACTTATCACAAATTTTCAAACAAGTAAAATAAAATATAAGGTTCCAAATTTGACGAGATATGATTTACTATTTCTTCATTAATTTTTATCCAATAAAAGCAGTTTTTTTTTATTGATTTAATTCACTTCTTGATCTTGGTGAATTTCAAGAAAAATTGGAACTTGTAGAGGATGGTGAAAGAAATTCTTCAACCAAATATTGGAGAATGCTTCTTAATTACAACTTTTTTGGTATTTCAAAGTCATCCTCAAACATATTTTGAAATTATTTAATAAAATGTAATTGTGGTAAATTGTTTTATAATACTTTTTTTATGGTATGTTTCCCTTTTGAAAATCAAGAGAAGTGCGCCTACCGTGTTCGTTTAAAATATTTGTGACAATTATTTTTTAGTTACAACAAGCTATATAAGATTCACAAAGACAGTTGTAAAATTCCAATATCCCACGTGAAATTTCCTAATCCCTTTAAGATTATGACAATCAGTAGCATGGTTAATTATGATAACTATTGTATCAATATTCAAAGCTTCAGATAAAAGTTAGCAACCATCTGTATATATAAGGATGACACACTACAAGTTTCCTTTCTCGCGCATACACACGTAGACTTGTTCAGTGCAATCATTTTCCTACAAGTCTTATTATAGTGAAATAGGTAGAAATATCAATATTATTTTAAATTTAAATGATGATGGCAGGCTTCTTTACTCTCTCTACTACCAGCACACTTGTTGAAGATACCAGAGGTCTCAAAACTTAGCGCTAATTCTTTATCTCCTGTTGTCAGTTGGGTACGTTAGTCATATTCTTGCATAGAATAAGCATAATATTCTTGGTTTCATTAGCATCACTTGCTCTATCTTATTTATCTAACTTCTAGTATTTTAGTTTCTTAACCCTTGTAAATTTTGCAGTTTCATAATAACTTTCGTATTAGAAGCTCTACCAGTGAGAAGAGATCATTTCAGTCAGCTTTGGCCTTTGCACTTGAAACTCGTGAAGGAACTCCAGAAGAGGTAGCATACTAATATCTTATACTGGAATGTGCCTCAAGGTTGTGGAGTTTTCCCTCTATTGGATTTGATGTAAAGTCTTGTTATTTGAATAAGATGTTCCACATTTTGATGATTAATTTTACTGATTTTAATCTGCAACCATTTCTTCTCATGGATATTTATTGCCAGAAAATAAAGCCTTGGAGGCCTAGCAATCAACGAGCTTGATTGAAGCTTCCTTTTCTTGTCTCTTAAACATAAAAATGCGTTTAACAGAATGGTTAATCTAAAAGTGCACTAAGGTGTGTGTATGTGATGTCCAAGTATGAAAGCTTATTGGATTAATTAATTTGATTAAAACATCAGATGCACTTCCTCTTCATTTTTATCCTATGGTACCTATGTCAGATAAGATTCTTGCACATTGGCAATCTCAACAGAAATTAATGAGAATACATCCAGACCTAATTTTAATATTTTTTGCTGAAGTTAATTTGATGTTTTTCAAAGAAAAACTTACCAGATAGTGAAACAGTGGAAGCAACATATTCTTGGTTGTTTTCAACTTCTTGTGACAGCTTCTTCAACTGATGGTAGATTTGCATCCATGGGTTGATTTTAATTAGCTTTATCCATTATTTTATTGTCATTGTGCATGCAATTGGATCTGATACATATATATTGTTTCTCTATTGATCCTACACTAGTTTCAATGATTATTATCATCTGGATCAGTTACCATCCAATATACCAGATGATCAGAAAGAATTGCAGTTCAGACGCTGTCTTTGTAAGAGTGGGATCAAAGAGATATCATATGAATATATTAGTCATTGTTCTAATGGCAGAAAAAAAATAAAAGGTTCAATATTTTTTGCAGATTGCAGCATTGTCTGTGGCACTATTCAGAGCTTTGAAACTTACCACGCGGTACAGTGTTATCATTGTGATAAGAATGGTATATGATGATTGCTAGTATATAAATATTTATATCGTCATTATTACTAGTTTCAGCATGTTGATCTAGATTTTTGTGGCCAAGTTTTAGCCACTCCAATAAAGATCTAGGGTAGGAAAACCTGTGAAATTTCAAAATTATTACTGACTTTTTTATATTTTGAATATTAAAATATAGCTGTATGAGTTTTAAGGAACGAAAGCATGGTATTATATTAATTCTGCTGGAGTTATGCAACACGGTTCTAAATTTTAATCTGTAGGAAGCATGTCTCAGGTTCAGAAGTTTTCTTTTGTTCCTTTCAGGAGTTAGGTTCTTTTCTTCTTATTCTCTTTTCAGTTCTTAGATCTTTATTATGTGTATGATCTACCGCATTTGTTTTTTATTGGATGTTGCATGGGCTTGTAGATTCACATGGGTCTACTACTTCGATAGGAGTGGCTTGGAGTGGAGATTGTTCTTGAATTTGTTGGTAGACATTTCTATTTTGGGTTTTTAACTAAAGTTTATTTATTCAAATTAGTCTACTAGGTTATTCAATTGACTCAAAATAATTGTTCCAATTAGTCTATCTCTAAAAAGAGTCATATTTTGTTGTATTTTGAGTTTAAATGGAATTCCCATGCCCTATTCAAGTTTCCCTTAGTAATTTCATGTGACATTTTAAGTGGAATAATCATGCTGTATAGAAATTGATACTCTTTTGCACATAAGTAATTGGAAGTATGCACCAAAAATCTATTTCATTCTTAAAATTTTCACCAGAATTTTCATTATATATTCATCTTGAGCTAGGATGTTTTCGTTCATGCTTCTTCATTTCATTTTTTTTTTATGAAGATATTTTGTCGTAGAAAAAAGATTTGTAAGAAATTCTACTGTCCTGATATTCACCATCTAGAAGTTTTAAATCAGTGTCTTTTTTTCTTTTTTTGTGGGAATCAAAAGTCATAATTTGTTTTAATTGAGGTATATTTAAACACCAAATCATATTAACTTAAGACATAACTGTTTTCAGGTTTGTGTCCATTCTAGATGTTGCCTCCATAAAACCTGAAGCTGACAGATGTGAATCCTCAAGTCAAGATACAAGCAGAGTGAAAAGAGGGATATTTAATAGTTCGACATTGATGGTAGATAGATCAGAACAGGTCCTTGAGTCTCCTGTTAAATCATTCTCATGCAATGAGAATAACACCATCCATGAAACTTCTCTAAAGGCTTCTTTCAAACGTAAAGATAGTCATCCAAGGAGCAATAAGACTCATTCTAATGATTGTCCTACTGCAGTCAGATTGGAAAACCAAGTGACAGATTCATTTTCATGTGAGGCGCAGGATAAGATCTCTGAATCATGCATTAGCACAAAATCTCAGGGTTCAAAGAGGAAAGGTGATCTTGAGTTTGAGATGCAGTTGCAAATGGCTCTCTCCGCAACAGCAACTGCTAATCCTCAAATTAGCATGACATCAGATGTGAGCAGCTTGATTAGTGATTCATCGAATATCTCTTCTCCAGTTAAAAGAATTAAAACAGTTGCAAGCGAACAATCTTCTTCCCATGGAATCTCCACTGCAGTTGGATCAAGGAAAGTGGGATCTCCTCTGTATTGGGCAGAAATATACTGCAGTAGAGAAAACTTAACAGGAAAATGGGTGCATGTGGATGCTGTAAATGCAATTGTAGATGGAGAACAGAAAGTTGAAGCTGCAGCAGCTGCATGTAAAACATCTTTGCGATATGTGGTTGCATTTGCTGGCCATGGTGCTAAAGATGTGACACGCAGGTTTTAAACCCTCTTATTCAACTGTTCTTTCCTTTGAAATTCTGATGTGCAATCACATTTTCAATTACTGCATTCGTTGAGACTAAATTTAAACATGAGACCTACGGCAACCTTTTCCTGATCCTATCCTTCGGCACTTGATTTCAGTAGATTTTGATAAACATGCTTTTTAATCTGCCTTGTTGAAATGTTGCACCTAATCTTCTTGTATTCTTAGTGCATATCATGCACAGAGCCTTGATTCCTTGAGATATGTTTCTTGCTTGGAAGCAGAGCGACTGTGGGGGAAAATAACTGTTATAGCGCTGCTGGACTTAGGGTAGTTTTACTGCCATTTACGGTGTTTTTATCTAGATATTCAGTGTTTATCATGTTATTATCAGTTTCTTTGTTAGTGGGTATTAGTGGGGTAGTTAAGCAAGTTATTTATCGTAATGGGTAGTTATTAGTGGGTAGTAGGTAGTTTTAGCTTTGCATTTAGTTGTTTAAAAGGTTGTGATATCGGGAAAAATGTAAGCATAATTTTATGAAAAGGTTTTGAGTTCCTAAAACTCAGATTGTAGAGTTCTGTCTTAACAGGCTCTAGGAGATTGCAGATTCTCTCTTAAGTCTGTCACCATTGATAGAAGGAAGAAAACTCCTTCTAAGATACCCATCTCAAACCTTATCCCCTAATTCAAAGACCCATAACTAGATCCAAATTTGGGACCGTAACATTTGGTATCAGAGCCTGGTTATGGGCGACTCTATTCAAAAACAACTTGATAGAATTTTAACATTATTCCTACAGGAGCAAGCTGCCAACAAAGTCCGACATGAAGCACTAAAATCCAAATTAGATACCCTCAGCTGTGTTTTTTTTGATTTAAAACAAACATCAACAATGGATGGGAGCAGCCATAGTCAAGCACCGATAGCAAAGGCAATAGGTTCAGCCGGTCTAGAATCTCCAAGGGGCACTACAATTGTTTCAAAATTCACAGAGTTGGATGTTCTTGGACCACCTATGAGGAGTAATAATTTAGGAAAGTTGGCAAAATTGGAACAACCTAAAACTGCCGCAGAGCGAATAGTTTTCCAGCAAATGTTTCAAGTCTCAATAGTTCTGTGTATAAAAGATAGAGTGGAGCAAAAGAAAGAAATAATCAAACATCATTTGTTAGCACAATTAGAGGGTCTTGTTTATGATTTGGTAGCCTCTAAATGGGAAGGGAGTGGGAAGAAGCAATTCGAGAATGACATAAACGAAACATTAGAGGAGCCATTTGATCCAGGAATATTAATTAAATATAGAAGCGCAATAAATAGCTCCTTATTTGCAGAATAATAGAGGGTAATAAGGATTTTCACAAGAGTTGGATGTTTCTTTGAACTTGGACCACCTATGAGGAGTAATAATTTAGGAAAGTTGGCAAAATTGGAACAACCTAAAACTGCCGCAGAGCGAATAGTTTTCCAGCAAATGTTTCAAGTCTCAATAGTTGTGTGTATAGAAGATAGAGCGGAGCAAACGAAAGAAATAATCAAACATTAATCGTTAGCACAATTAGAGGGTCTTGCTTGTGATTTGGCAGCCTCTAAATGGGAAGGGAGTGGGAAGAAGCAATTCGAGAATGACATAGAGGAAACATTAGAGGAGCCATTTGATCCAGGAATATTTAATTAAATATGGAAGCACAATAAACAGCTTCTTATTTACAGAATAATAGAGGGTGATAAGGATTTTGTTTGCATCACATTTTTACAAGTTGAAGATTGCATGTCATCCATCCTTTGCGCTTGAGGACAAGCGCCTTTTCGAGGGGGAGTGTAATGTTATGGCGCTGCTGGACTTAGGGTAGTTTTACTGCTATTTACGGTGCTTTTATTTAGTTATTCAGTGTGTATCATGTTATTATCAGTTTCTTGTAAGTGGGTATTAGTGGGGTGGTTAAGCAAGTTATTTATCGTAGTGGGTAGTGGGTAGTTTTAGCTTTGCATTTAGTTGTTTAAAAGGTTTTGATATCAGGAAAAATGCAAGCAGAATTTTATGAAAAGGTTTTGAGTTCCAGGACAAATGCAAGCCAAGAATTTTTATGCAAAAGGTTTTGAGTTCCCTAAAACTCAGAGATTGTAGAGTTCTCTCTTAATGAGCTCTAGGAGATTGCCAGATTCTCTTCTCTCTTAATGAGCTCTAGGAGATTGCAGATTCTCTCTAAGTTTGTCACCATTGATAGAAGGAAGAAAACTCCTTCTAAGATACCCATCTTAAACCTGATCCCCTAATTCAAAGACCCATAACTAGATCCAAATTTGGGACCGTAACAATAACTCTCAGTTACCTTCCTTTTCTTTCAATGATTTGTCTCAGGAGAATTTTTCTTAATCTTCTAGATATAAAAGGACAGAAAATGCACAGTTAGATTATATGGATGCTAATTCAAAGTTTTTCCTGGTTAACTCTCTAAAGCATTTATTCTTCCTTTCTTCTTTACCCCAAAAAGGGCGGAAAAACTGTAATTAAATACTATTGTTTATGAGCTGCTGTTTATATAAATATTGTCATTGATGCAGGTACTGTATGAAGTGGTACAAGATAGCACTACAGCGAATTAACTCAGTTTGGTGGGATTCAGTGTTAACCCCATTGAGGGATTTGGAGTCAGGAGCAACTGGAGGTATGGTCCATTTGGAAAAACGCCATAATCATGCCTCAAAAAAATAAAATAAAATAAAATAAAATAAAGAGGCATGAAGTGTGGTTGATTATTCCATATCAGATAATTTTCTAATCAATGTTAATTTGTCTGGCAAGTCAGGCTCCTTGGAAGTGTCTGAAGTACCTGAGAGGAAGATTGATGCACAACCTTCTGGAAGGAACTCCTTTGTTGCTAGTAGAAACTCTCTTGAGGATGTGGAGTTGGAAACTAGGGCTCTAACTGAGCCTCTTCCCACTAATCAGCAGGTACAGTGATCCATGTGAAGATTAACGGGATCTCTGAGTTGCTCTGCAAATTTTACAGAACTTCTCATTATCTATATGCAGGCCTATAAAAATCATCAATTATATGCTATTGAAAGATGGCTTACAAAGTCTCAGATACTTCATCCCAGGGGCCCTGTTTTGGGTTTTTGTTCTGGGCATCCAGTTTACCCTCGTGCTTGTGTGCAAACACTCAAAACAAAAGAAAGATGGTTGCGTGACGGGCTTCAGGTTAAAGCCCAAGAACTTCCAGCAAAGGTTCAGTGCAGCTAATATTTAATCTAAGGTTTAGGTTTATTATTTATTAGATAGATGGTTTTTTTGTTATAATTTTTTTAATAGAGGCAGTTTATTTCCTGAAGGTGTTGAAACAATCTGGAAAGCTTAAGAAAGTAAAATCTTCAGAAGATGATGAATATGGTGAAGCTGATCCTAAAGGAACTACAGAGTTATATGGGAAGTGGCAACTAGAACCCTTACAGCTGCCCCGGGCTGTGAATGGGATCGTTCCAAAGGTGAATTCTGGTCATGTTCCTCTATAAATATATCATGCTCTGTTTTCAAATTAACAATTAATATTGAGCCATGCTTCTTTTACTTTTTCTCTCTTTTTCTCAACCAGGAGAAGCCAAGAGTTATTTCCCCTTATTCTTCTCCGAGAAATTAGCATATTTCAGATAGCCTGACATTACTTTTTTAAGTTTTGTTCCTTTCTTGGTTTGTGTAAAAATACTTTTTATATGTACTTGATTAATAAAAAGAATCTTTTTTATAGTGGAAGGTTAAAATTGTTTGCAATTTTGCTCCCAATATATGATTACTTGAATAGGACCTTGAGATTAAAAACTATTGACAAATGATTGAATTGTTTAATATTTGAAGGTACCATTGAGCCTGTGTCAGCACACATATGTGATGATCTAGGAAAGAAAAGTTTTCTTGAAATTTTATTGTGTAGAAGTATATATGACATCTTAAGCCAGACTTGTATACAAAAATTAGATTGTTATTCTGGTTTGGTGTAAAAGAATTTTTTGTGGAAGTATATGGAATCCAATGTCCAATGGCTTTCTTATATTTTGTTTTTTTTTTCTATACGCTTATTGGGTTGCATGGTAATACGATTTGCCTACTTCTGTTCTATCACTTTTTGAAACCATTTGAGAATGCAAAATGCACTTGAAAAGTTCATTTAACCAAAAAAACCTTTTGATTTCATGTTTTTTTTTTTTTTTAAATTATACTATATTATCACCTGACTGATGAATTTGAATTGGAGATTAGAATGAGCGTGGTCAAGTTGATGTGTGGTCTGAGAAGTGCTTGCCACCAGGGACCGTTCACTTGAGACTGCCAAGGATATTTCATGTTGCCAAGAGATTAGAAATTGACTATGCACCAGCCATGGTTGGTTTTGAATTCAAAAATGGTCGATCTATTCCTGTCTTTGAAGGTATTGTGGTGTGCACTGAGTTCAAGGATGCAATTTTACAGGTAAATTGTAATTGCTACATGTGGTTGATTCGGCATATCGTTTTGATGGATTATTTTGCACTTCACCCACTTATACTTTCTGCACCTTCCTATGCTTAGATTTGAAGGAAAATGAGAAACTAGTCAAATGGCATGTGAACTTGTTCAATGCTAAATATTTCTTGTAATGCGGTTCTACTTAATGTCGCAAATCTTTAGTCGCTATAACATTTTGGGACACTGATTCAGGAGAATAGCTGATTTCTTCCAACTAAAGAGACAGTATGCACTCGCGATGAACCTTTTAGTTTTTATTCGTTACTTAATCCTACAAGACGATAAGTTCATAACACCCTATAGGTTTCGTCATTAGCATATTAGTCCCTACTATTTTAATCCTTGACGTGACATTTGAGCTTATATAACACTTCGATCCCTGAAAATTTTGTAATATAATATATTTTAGTCATTGGAGTAATTATGTTGTAAAATACTCTAGTCTCACTCAAAATCATGCACTTCTCATTGAAGTTAGTTTGGAAACTGAAGTGCTAATCTTGAAATAGCGGAGGCTGAAGTGCTAGTTAATGAATTGATTAGGGGGTGTTATAGTAATTTACTCTTGCAGAAAGTCATCCAATCTGAAAATTGTGTTTGCTTCTTAACCAGGCATATGCTGAAGAAGAAGAGAGAAGAGAAGCTGCAGAGAAGAAAAGAATCGAGGCGGAAGCTCTTACTCGGTGGTATCAACTCCTTTCATCGATCATAACTCGACAAAGGTTAAACAACTGTTACATGAATAATTCATCATCACAAATGCCAAGCAACATCCAAGATACAAACAACGCATATGTTAATAGTAAAACCGACAAGCAATCGCAGGAACTTCGGGGAGAAGACATGAGAAAGCCTATATCACTTGCTTCACAACTGGTTCTAACAAAAGATCATGAACATGTATTTTTGGCAGTAGACCAGAGCTTTGATGAGGAGACTTCAGTGAGGACAAAACGGTGTTCTTGTGGATTTTCAGTCCAAGTGGAGGAATTATAGAACCATCATTTTGAATCCATCTAAGTACAAGTCTGAGCTTGTAATTTTGCCAGGGTGGAGCCCTAATATTTTTGTTGTAAAGGCTCCAATCTTGTCATGTAACATTGTGCACCCAATTTTATTTTATTTTCTTATATATAAAAATATCTTATTATTTGGAGTAATATTCTCTGAATCAGAGAAAATGTGGCATCCTTCTTTTCTTATCTTTTACTTCTATTATAGAGCTACTATTTTCCCCTGTAGGGGCAGAGACAGAAAATTTAGTTAAGAGTGGGCAAAATTGAAAGTAATTAACATCGAATAACATACTTCTTGAATGACAAGAACCCATTGCCAAGAAAACAACTAAAATAAAATAACTGTTGGTTAAATTTAAGAGAGTATATAATTATAAAACTCCTTTAAAATTTGGGTGGTATTTTCTTACAGAACAATAAACGAAAATTCAAAATACAGCTTTTATGATTCAACAAACATACGGCGACTGGCGATTATGGCTACGATAACGATAAAGGTGACAACGACGATAATAATAAAAAGAACAAATAATAAATGAATAACGAAAATGACTTTATTTTAATATTTAAGGTCAAATTGACTTTTTTTTTTTAAACAAAATTTCAAAAAATGACATTTATTACTATGTCTCAATCTATTATAAGGCTGAGTTAGATTGGTTTGCGACATATAACGGATCCTGTGCATAGCCTAACAATAGATAAATGAATACCGTACTATTAAGCCAAAGCTTGTAGGTGTTCTTTTTTAACTTTTTAAACTTTAAGCATTGTAATGATTTGCTTTCAAATTGAGAATGGAATTCAAGTTTTATAGTAGAATTCCATTTACTGCTTTGATTTCAAAAGAAAAAAGTTGATTTTTTAGTGTTTTATTTGAATAATTTGAATTTAGTGGAATTATACATATAAATATAAATTAAATAAAAAAAAATATAAGCCTTTAAATTGATACAATTGATTAAGAATATAAAAAGTTATAAAAGCACCCTCTCTCCGTTAGGACTTCCCTGCTCTACTCCTCACTCGTCCCCTAAAGGCTACAGAATCCCAAATAAAATTGAATCAAAAAGACAGCTCCTTCGGCTCTAAACGGCTACTCTGCTTATTTGGTCTATCGGCTACTGAACTAATATATATAGAGCTTTTAAATTAGTTAAGAAAATTATTCTATTCTCAGAAGAATCCTCTGTTCAAATGAAAATAAATTTCTTTAGCCTCTTCATCTTTTCAAAGAGAAACAAATTAGCGGCTTAGACATCACACTTATCATTGTACAAAGATGAAAAACTTCCATGTTTCATCTTTATCTTTTTCACTGTTTTTCGATTCTCTATTATTTTCTTTTTTGCATCTCTAAATCGCACTTATTTTATTTTAACTATGTGAACGATTGACTGTCACCATGTGTTCGATAAAATGAGGGACTCATTAAATTGATCTTACTCTATAGTTTTTTGCTATCCTTTATGCTTGCAATTTTATAATAAACGAGTTGTGCTTTGTTGTAAAAATTCAATTATATTTGTTTTTTCAACATTATTTTTTATTTCCATTTTTGTGAAATAAATGGGCTTGAAAAAAAAATATTATATCTCAATAGTTGATATACCAGTGATTATTTTGCATTTAAAACTCAAATTTAAATTCACAATCTATTTCAAATTTCAAATTCACAATCACAATCTATCCAAATAGAATAAATAAGAGATAATTACGGACAAAAAAACATTTTATCTTTAAGCACTCAACATTTTTTAGATCTAAGATAATTTGATTTTTACAAATAAAATAAATAAGAACTAAATATTATAATTTTTATTCAAAATCAAAAACTTTTAAAAATAATAATATAATTCAATAATAATATTTATTTAAAAATATATAAACACCCACGCAGTGTTTTGACTAGTTGAAAATATAAACATGGAAACTCTCATGGTGGAAAAAGAAATTATAATTTTAATAGTTTTTATTTTGAAAATTGTTAGGTTATTAAATTTTTTTATTAGAATAAAAAATTTACATTTATAAGATTTTAAAACAATGATTTTAGTTTTTCATTTTAAATTTTTAAGTACATAAAATTAATATTTTTTTATTCCACGTGAACTGGTAATTTAATACTGAATAAACATTTTTTTTTATCAATCAAAAGAATCTGGTAAGAGTATTTGAACTCTATAATTTAAATTCCATCCATCTAAATAATCTCTTGAAGATGAATGTCAATTATGCTAGAAAAGCTCCATGATTAGTAAGTAGGCCACAACCAAACAAGATCTAAATCCTCCACAATTTCCATGTTGGTATTGGGAAGTTTATAATCATAAATTTCAATCTAAAAAACTATCCCAAATCCCAATCAGAAATCTAATGGAACATTACATGAGTACTAATAGGAATGACCCACATCACCATTACTAATAGGAATGACCCACCATATCAGTCAACAGAAAAACAGACACCTGTTACTCTGTAGGGAACTGTCTTTTCAACACAAAATCAATATGACCTTGTCTAGTACTTCTTCCCCATTGCTCATCAATCATAATAAACAGAACACCGTAAATTTCAGCTCTGCTGCTTCTAGAAAGAGCACTGGAATTTACTGTTTTATTGCAATTTAGGAGTGAAAAGTGAAAACTTCTTTCTACTGACTGACAATTTCGAATTGAATTAAATGGAGGGTAGCGAGTCTTTCTGCAATAGTAAAATTTTGTTTTTCTTATGGCTAAGCTTTAATTTTTGGTTTAGAACTCTTCTTTGAAAATCTTTGAAAATGAAAAATCTCAATTTACTTTGAAAATGAAAAATCTCAAATTTAAATCGGTACATAACTCCTTTTTTATTTATAATAATAAAAAGGTCTCATTTTTAAATAGTAAAATCAAGATTCGCGCTTCCAATAATATGTTTTTGCTCATAAAACAAGGAGTTTCATGCTCTGAAATGCCCTCATTTACTAATTATAATCAAAAGATCATGAATTCAAGTCCACGGAAATAGTTGCAATTAAAATTAGTATCAACATTCAAAAATTAAAGAATTATGGTTTTTGCAGTCAAGAGTCGAGCTCAATAAAAAGTAAAAACAAACAATTACAGAACAGAACAAAGGTTAATGAACCCCAAATCATCATTACTACAAAATTATTCTCTAAAGTAAATCAACAAAGCCTCAACAACAACTACAATCATTCAATTCTACAGGCAAATTACAAATGTGCAGACACATTAACAAAGACTAAAGACACACACCACCCCCAATTCTACAGACACATCAACAGCCAACAAAGCCCAACTGCTACTAACTAACGACTAGCCTAATTTTGAACACTCACTTCAGTCACAGAAGGATTTTTCACTTTCGGAGGCCGACCCCTTGGCCTTCCAGTCCCAGTTGCCATTGGAACTGTTGTAGCAGTAGTAGTTGAAGTTCCACTCATTCCTCCTGTAGGCCGTGCCATCTTCCGGGGCCTCCCTCTTGGCTTTCCACTACCTGTAGATGTAACCTTTTGTTTCATTGGCTTTGGAGGTGCATTGGGGTCCTTTGGCGGACGGCCTCTGGGTCTGGCAGGGGCAAGGATTGCACCTGGTGGCGATGGATCCTTAGGTTTAGGGGGTCTGCCACGGCCACGCCTTGGAGGTGCACTGGGGTCTGGTTTCATGTAGTTGTTTTTCCAAAAGACTAATTCTCCAGTATCCTTCATTCTGTTAAGGTGGTGCGTGAGAAGCGTTGTGTGGGAAGCAGGCAATTCTCCATATTTTGATTCAATATACTTGGATATGGATGTCTTATTTGAGCCATTTTGCTCATTCAATGCTTCAATTGCTGCCAAAATCATCTGTATAACAACAGAACAGTTCACACAGAATCATAAAAACTGCAACTTATCCCTATGAGACAAGAAACAACCCAAATGCTTGCATAAGTCCACACTTGAAACTATTTATTTGAAACATTTGCAATTAGAATTTAGTAGGGAAAATGGGTTGTAATAGAATTTTTCAAAAACCCCTTTCCACGAGTTTCATAAGAAAAGAGCTGTCCATTTGATTATACAGAAAGAAGCTCTTTTTCCCTTCCTTGAAAAACAGATAACTGAGCACTTGCAGTTAAAGCCAAAGAAATTAAATTGGATTGAAGCAAGCCAAAACAAAAAAGAAAAATGTAAAACGATGAAAATGTCTTTCTTTTTTTCCCCATATAATTCTAAAGAATTGTCCTTTTTCTTTAAATAATTTTCAGAAAAAAGTACGCATGCAACAGAAACTTAGCAATAATGCTTCAGTAGCTGTCCAAATCATCCAAATAACCACCAAGCCTCAAAACAGAAATTCAAAAATTCAGCTGTATACAGTGAAATTTAGAATTTTTTTTCCTAAAAAATGTATGGTGAGAAGATTTCAAGGAAAATTAGCAATCATAAAAAATCAAAAATAAAAGCTCTATTTTCCATTTTAGCCCCACAAATTCAACAGGAGTAAGTAACAAACCAGGGGAGGAAAATAGATTTAGTCTTTTATCTTTTAATTATATCAGAATGTAAAATGAGCAAGGGTCCAAACAAAAAATCCCAAATTTACTTCATCTTAATCTGAGACGTTAAACAAGAGCTAGCAGCAAACCATTGTAAACTCAAACTGGGTATAATCTCCTCTACAGACACATGAAAAAAAAAACAAAAAAATAATTAAAAAACAGTTAGATAAATAAAGGAAAGTAATCAAAGATGAAAAATAATAGATCAATTATTTAAAAAAAAAAAAAACCCTAATCAAGAAATTATTGAAATTATTATTATTATTATTATTATTATTTTGGAAAATATAAGGAAGATAAGTGAAAATTTTTTTTCCTTCTCTCTTTTTTTTTTTCCCCTTCTCTTTGTTTCGAAAGAAAGTGAAAATGGAAATAGGTGATGTGTTTATACCTCAGGGTAAGGAGGGAGTGATGGTGGCCTATTAACCTCTTCAGCTGCCATTAATTTCTGAGAAGGAAAGAGAAAGAAAGTGAAAACCTGTTCAAAGTCTTAACTCAGTGAGTCCCCACAAAAGGGAAGCTCCTACACAACACCAATACCAACTGCTTTCTTTCAAAATCTTGCAAAGAAACTGTTGATTGATCTATTTTGCCCAAAAGGATATGTTGGTTTTCTTTTAATGCGTAAATTATTTTTTTAATTTTTTAATTAAAAAGTAAAAATGGACGGCTAGGAATGGGTTAGTGGATGATGATCAAGTGGTTGTGATTGTGTAATGATAGTGTCACTAAGATCAATGACTTGGCAAGTGCTAAATATAAAAATAATTTATTAAAATTACAAGTTTATCCATTGTTTTTGGTGGGTTTATGTTATCATCAATCTTGGCTTGTCACTTTTCTATAAAAACAAAAATATAAATACAAATATGGTCGCTGCTTTACTCCTCTAAAAAACATGCTTCAGAATCAAAGAATTGAATATTATATATATATATTTTTTTTAATTACTTTTTTTTGAACATTGCTTGCAAGGACTTCTTTTTGGACCCAAACCATTATGATTTTCTACTTTTCTTCAACTTTCTAGTAAATAATAAATGAGAATAACTTGGTTGCTAAAGCTAAGCTCTTTGTGAGATTAAAAATAATGGCTTCAAACTAGGGATGACAATATAATAATAATATCCTAAACGGTGCGTTTTGCTCTTTTTAAGGGCTTAGGTTAAATTAACCTAAGCTGGTTAGACGAGACTTATTTTATTATTATTATATTATAAATTTTAGTTAATTTTGTATTTCGGGTGACAATATGTATAAGTTTTTAAGTTAGAGTGCCAAAGTTATGAAGATCATTTTATAGTATATAAGGTCGGAATATTCATGTAGGTTAGGCCAAATTAAATCGAGGCAGGTCAAATTAAGTCGATTAAAGTTAGAGAGTTATCTAAATCGGTAAGTTAATTATGAATATGAAAGCTCCACTTGAATCATTGATTATTTTAGGACTTGACTAATACTAATAGTAGTATATTGGTTAATAGATATGCATAATAAAATTGTGTTCGATAGCAACTTTATATTTTTTAATTACTTTTTTATATTTTTAGAGAGTTATCTAACACGGATAACATCGATAAGTTAATTATGAATATGAAAGCTCCACATTTTAATGATTGATTGTTTTATGACTTAACTAATAGTAATAGTAGATTACTTGTTAATAGATATGCATAATAAGATAGTGTTCGATAACAACTTTTTAAGTTGTTTTTAATGTTTTGATCAGTGAAAATATTAAATGTTATTTTTTTATAGTATTTAGTAACATAGAATTAAATTAATTTTAGATATTAAGGTAGCGCTTTATAAAAAGTTAACTCATGTAACGTTCAGTTTTTAGCATTTTATAAAAAATCACTCAAACAGTTAATATCTAAATGCTACTAAAACAACTAACCCACTATTGAAATAGCTAATTTTCGTGAACAAACCCTAAATATGGATAGAATAGTTTTTGTTTGAGAAATATTGTATAATTGATGAGAAAATATCAATAAATTTTAATACGACTAACTATCATTTTCAAGGGGTGTTTGGTTACCGACATTCGATATTTCTATGGACAGTGACTTTTTTTTATTTTTTCAAGTAGAATAAGAAATGTTGATATCATATTTGAGTGATTACAAAAATTTCCTAGGAAAGTAAAATAATTGTATTTAATTAAATTACGACAAAATAAATGTGCCGCGTGCACACACATATATGCATTAAATAGATTACATTAATACTCTTAGTTTAAATATATTTTATTTACTTAATCTCTAATTAATAACATAAGAAATATATAATAACTAATTGAACTTTTTTAATAACCAATTAATATGAAGTATAAGTATTATTTGAATTACTTAATAAGTTTAACTTATTAATGGAACAACTTATATAATCTTTTAAAATAAGTAAGGGTATCAAAATGACATTAACACAAAATATATAATTATAGTATTAATGTTATTTTATTTCTTAAAATATATTTTTTTTAAAATGAATTTCTTAAAATATCTTAGTTGTATTGGAATTCAATTTTCTCACACATTGAGATGGAAAAATAGGTATACGCTTACAAATTTAGGAATTGAATTTTACTAGGAAAGTAGAATTTTTATACAAATCAAACATCAAAAATTTTAATTTCCTAAATCAGTTCTATGAGATTTCGTCATTTAAATACCTCTAAAGGAAAACTTTCCCAATTATGTTTAATTTGATAATGGCTCAAATTGATCATTAATTTTCTTAATAATGTTTAATTAAACTCAAATTGAGTTAAAGTCTAATTAAGAAAACTTTTCATTGAAGATTGTCCAAGCATCACTGTAAATCCTTCACCGCTATACTATTCTATCCCTATCTTCTAATATATACCCATTTAAAATGTCAATTAAATAATATATTACAGGAACAAAATGGTTATTTTGATTGGAAGAGATGAAATTATAACAATTAATTTGAATGAGATTATTTGGGGATTAAATGTCATGTTATATATTTGCGCGTGTGAAATTGATTTAAGAAAAAAAAATTATTTTCGGGCTTCTGAGATTTTATAAAATACATTACTTCGTCCTCACTGTTTGTATAAATTATTTCGCAATCCCTCGTATTTGCCTCTATCTAACTTTGTAGTCCTCTATAAGAAGAGTGACTTTTTTTTTTTTTTTTTGACAATTTTACTTAAGACAGCAATAGCCTTATTAAGGGATCCATAAATATTATATTAATATTTTTAATCACACATCTTTCTCCTCTCTTTCCTTCCGGTTCACGTTGCCGTCTCCGCCAGAGTCACCACTGCCAAAGAATCTAAAGCCCATGTCGGAGATACTTGCTAAGGCGAAGTATGTTGTGGTAGAGCTGTTGACTACAGCGACGTGAGCTGCGAGCAATGTGGCTTAGGTGAACGAGTCGATAAGCTGCTCTTATGCGATAAGGGATTTCGCATAAAATGCGTTAGGTCGATCGTTGCGAGAGTCCCGATTAGATCGTGGCTCTGCCCTTAAGTGCTCTGGATAGAGACGAGTAAGAAATAGGGAAAAAGTTTTTCTTTTCTGTTTATGTTTTTATTTTCCTTGTTGATGAAAAATGTGACAATGTTGGTTGAGTTGGAGCTTCGATTCTAAGAGGTGGAGAGCAACAAGTTTCTCCGCTTCAGACCCGATAGTGACTTGGAGCTCCACTTCACGAAAGAGCTCTTGGAGTTCATCGAAATATCGGCGGGGCAATGGGACCAGCGCAAAGTAAGAAGAGAGGAGAGAGTATGGCACATGAAGGAAAGAGAGGAGAGAGACGAGTAATTAAAATATTAATATAATATTTATGGACCCCATAATAAGGTTATTGTTGTCTTTTTAAGTAAAATAAAAAATATTGCTTTTTTTGACGGAAGGACTAGAAAACTAGAAAATCAGACGGATGCATATGCGATGAACTGTGAAATAATTTATACAAATAGTGAGGGACATGAAAATAAGTTTTCCCTTAATTTAATTTAGCGTATTTATTTAGGACAAAAAGTGTTTCTTTTAAAAAGGATAAAATGTTATTAGATAAACAATGTATAAAATATTATTTTTTTTGAAACAATATATAAAATATTTATTAATATATGTAAAGATGAGCATTACATTTAATTTAATTAAATCAAATTGAATTAATTTAATCCGCTTTGACCATATCTCCTTATATATATATATATATATATATATATTGTCACGACCCTATATATATATTATATATATACATTCGTCCACGACCGATTCCATGAGCCGGGACCGCACTAGGGCTCAGGTAAGCTAAGCCCCGAGGCCCGTAGTAAGCCTGTAACACTAGAATCTATTATCTCGGTATAAATTCTCAACATTTAGCCCATTGATTATGAAAATAAACCTCGATATTTTATTTATTTCTCAGCCAAGTTTATCTTCTACAGCATTCCATAGTTCGGACCCAATTTACAATATATCACATCTAATATGGGCTTTACAGAATTATTTCGTCTATGTTAATACACGACTAAAATGTATGTAAATTCTACAACTGCGAAGTCACTAACTCTTTGTATTACATGTTTTGGTTAAATAATTACATAGTAAATAATTATGAACTAGGGAAAATTTTCTTAATAGGCCCTTGCGGCGAAAACGGGAAAACATAGCTTAAAACCGAATTAAAGACAAACTTCACTTCCTTGAAAAAAAATCAACAGACCAATGTTGAGTTTTTTCTTAACGAGTAATAATTATTGCACAACCACTAATTATTGCACAACACACGCAGTCACACAAATATGTAAACATTTCAATCTAGTCATCCGACTAGTTATATGCTCACGCAGCCAGTCACACAAATTACACATACCAGCACTCACACGTAATGTCACTTTCAAGTAATCAAGCAAGTGGTAATTAGTCAGTGGCACCACTTGAAACCCAAACGAGCCGTCCTCACACATGGCTCGCCCTCTCGTACATGTGCACTAGGGAGCCGATCCCCCATACGGCCAACTGGTCTAATGCTCACTGACCAGTCCTCTCATTGTTTTTCCAGTCTCTCGTTTCTTTTCCATATCAACAGGAGGCAACCCGGTGGTCTCCATCCAATCTAGATTATCAACAGAGGCCCCCTGCGGGCTACATCAAATCTAGATTTAATCAGGGTGCGCCAACAAAACAAGGAAAAGCCATCCTGTGAATTTCCAATATTATCTAATATATCAGCGCTGCCAAGGGGGCGCTGGTCTCCCATTTTTTCCGGCGGCGGTCAAGTATCATTTCGTTACTCAGGCATCCATATCACAGACCCGTCCTCACAAACCCATGGTGTCCCACTTCATCCCAATTCCACACAAACAAAGCACAGCATTATCACAACACAATTAATCAAGTATTGCAATTTAAATGCAAACATGTTGATCAGTTAAATATCGTAATGCAATGCACATGTAGACATCCAACATCAAATGCAAATAAATAAGTAAATAGTGTTAACAATAAACAACAATAATAATAAATAATAATAATAATAATAATAAACAAAAATAATCAGAGCACTATATTTATTATGTATCAAATTATAGAATTTATCTAAATAAGCTTATTTATTATGTTATTAATTAAAACTGATCTAGGTCCTATCGAAATTTCGATAGCATTTCTCCTAAAAGTGGGATTATCTACCTGCTTAAATATCAGCAATATTATATACTCGGGCAATCAAACAATTTAATTTCCCTTCTTCCATATCAAGTAATAGTATAAATATTTAATCACAATACAAAACTTTAGCTATTAACAATCCAAGCTTCGCTATCTAAGGTTAAGCTCGTACATAAAATAACAAATAAATGAAAATAAACATTTACTTAACCACCACATTCTACTGGTTTAAAGTATCCGTATATTTATGCTTGTAGTAACCATATGCCAACTATAATTCACTCTTTCTTTTCTTTTCTTTATCATTATATAACTAAGATCCCGAATACAACTTAATAATATGTGAATCCTCGCTCAAGCAAATTTCAGGTAACGAACCCATTTTATTTCATCTCTTCAAATTCAAATCATAAATAAGCATTTATACATCAATCATCATGGAATCTTGAAAGTACGCTCATTTACATATATTTATCATTCTAAAACAACACAAAAAAAATCAAGGTAATTGCTGTCAATTCGAAAAAGAATTAGAGTTTTTCTATCTTAAAATCATGGATCACACCAACTAACTAATTCCACGCAAGAATTAGATTTACAACCTTAATTGTACCATGCTCAACAAAAATCAATAGAAATAATTGAAGATAGCTGCTGCTTTTTACCAGAAATTTCTCAGTACTCATTAAACTTTGTCATTAGTACCTTTACACTCTCACAACAATATGAAGGGCGCAGCCATTTCGTTTCAATCAACATAAAACATGGTTTCAAGCAAAAAATCGGATTTCCGCTATTAAGGGCTGCCATTATTTCAAAGAACCCTTAAGGTGTTTGGTCTCAAACTTACACCATTATACGATGGTTAACCATTTTCCAATAATAGAACTCAATTTACAACTTCATTTGCTTCATATCACAGATTTATAAGAATTAAACTAAATGGCTTGCTGCCAAACCTTAAGAAAATCAAGGTTTCTCGATCAAAATCCATATTATAAACACTAGTTGAACTCACTTTACCTTAACAAAACTTAACTTTATCATGTTCAAATGGCCTCATATTCAAAGCAGAAATTTTGAGCAAATAGGCTTAGGTTGCTGCCTACCTATCACAATCATTTCTAATCTTCTTTCATGGCATCTACAATAAACCACCCTAATTACACTTTCCTTGAAAATGCAGTTATAGCGTCAATTTAATAGTAAAAAAAATCAGATTTTTCAACTTTATTGTGTGGAATTAGTGTTTCAGGAACCTAGCATTTTCTTCATTCATGATTCTAAACCCTTTCCTCAAATGAACTATTGAATAGTTAAATAATTGAAGGAAAAGGATCAATAGAGCCTCCACCAAGGTTTGAAATGCGACTTTACCTACTACGAGCCTGGATCGCAGCTTCTTGGTTCGCATGCCACCCAGCCGCGAACGGAAGGAGAGAGTGAGAGAAGAGATCGAAGCTTCCTTCGTCGAAGAGAGAGACTTGGGAGTCGGACCGTCGAGTGAGCATACGACGCTATTCCCGTCAAGTCTCACTGTGATAACTGCGTTACGCCAGAAACAAAATGAGGGAGAGAAGGATGCCGGGACTGCTTGCCGGCGAGGAGGTGCGCAAGGAGGCGCGGCGCGGGTCCCTCTGGTCGTCGAAAAACGAGAGGAGGAGAGGGAGAGGGTGAGGATGACGCTGGAGTGAGAAGAAAGGAGATGAAAAAAAAGAAGAAAGGAAGTCGGTTTTCTAGATCATTCGGTTTGGTTTCCAATTAAGTGATTCGACTCGGTTTAACAGATTTTCACCTAGTTTTTCGGAAAAACTCAAATTGGTTTTACAGGTCCGATTAGGCAATGATAAAATACTAGGTTGTATAATTCTCGTTGGATTAAAATAAAAAAATTTAGTTTTTAAATGAAAAATTCTACGAAATTAAATTTTCGGATCGTTTATATATATATATATATATATATATATATAATCCTGAAAAAAAAATCTTCAAAATGCTCAAGTGGCTCTCTATTCTTTCAACATTCCTTTTTTTCTTTTTTTACAAACTTTTTAATTTTTAAATATTTATCTTTCTATATCTATCTAATCTAATATATGCCTATATCTAAAATTTTAAATAATTAACTTTAAAACATTTAATTTTTAAAATTAAAACTTTTGAATTTTTGAAGTAAAAATTTTTAAAACTTTTGAATTTTTTTCTAATCTATCTATCTCAATATATACAAAACACCTCTATATTAATCATTTTCAAATGATTTTCTTCAATAGTGGTTATTTTTTTTATTTTTTGTTGTTTTTCAATTCTCTGAGTTTCGATTGTTCTTTACAAAGTTTTTTAAATTGCTTTCTTTATTTATTCCTTTATTTTTATATATATGTGTTATTTTATATATGACAATAGTAACTATTGTCACTTCAATCCAGATATACCTTTACCTCTTATTCGACTGAGGTAATATTAACTCTTTGATCTATTTTTTTCATTTTTTTCTTTTTAATTTTTTAATTTTTTTGTGCAATTTTTTATAGTCTTTATGTGATTTCTCTTCTCTTTAATATTTATTTTTTAATAATATTTTCTTTGTTATCTGTCACCAACTATGTGTGTAAAATGCAGGTGTAAATACATGTATTAGAAAATATCATGTTGATGCAGATGAAAAGGAAAGAAAAGGTAACTATAAATTCATTTATGTATTTTTTAAAAATTTATTATGTTTTTATCAAATAGTAGAAAGTTGTAAATTTTTTTATTTATTGCTTCATATTTTTTTATTTGTAAATTTTAATTATTTATAATTATTTTAATTCATTAATTATTATTTATAATAATAATAATTTTTTTGAATTCTCTAATTGCTGAGTCACTATGTTGTATATAATTCAAGTATTTATTTTATTATTATTATTATTATTCCATTTACATCAAAGAGAAATCTCTTTAATTAAAATTGTATATATATCAAAGTGAAGATTTAGGTTATTGATTTAAAGGGAAAAATACCTCATAGTTAAAATAATATTCTTATCATTTTCATTTATATCTAATAATATTATTTTAAAATTAATATTTCTTTATATATATCTATATATATTTCAGTTTAATTTCTTACTTTTCTTTTTTTATTAGCATAATTTAACATACTATTTTTAAGTTTAAAATTATTTTTTTAAATAATTAGGCTTAATTCATAATATTGAATCAAAATTTATTTTATTAATTCTTCAGATAGTTAAAATAATATTCTTATCATTTAAACCTTATTATCATTTATATCTAATAATTATATTTTAAAAATTAATATTTCTTTATAATAATTATCTATATTTATATTTCAGTTTAAATTTCTACTTTTCTTTTTTATTAGATAATTTAACATACTTTTTTAAGTTTAAAATTATTTTTTTAAATAATTAGCTCTAATTATATTTGAATATTTATTTTTTTAATTTTAGATTGGATTGTTTAATTTTTTTTGCGTCTATTTATTCATAATAATTATTTATTTTTACTTCTATATATCTTTGTTTATATATGAAATTTTCCCATACGTCTTTTAAATTTATAATTCTATAAATATAATTTAACTAATGTTTATTGTTTAAGGCTTTTATTATATATATATATTTTTTTTTTGAGGTTGTAGGATTTATTTTTTATACATATTTATTTTTAATTTACAATAAAAAAATAACATTTAATATAATGTCAATAACAAAGTAATAAAATAATCCACGCAATATCCGGACGTTCACCTAGTAAAATATAAAATTAAATTGTATTAATTTAATTTTTTAAACCATATTTTGAGCGTATTTCAAAATCGAATTATAACCGAATTTTTTAAATATTAAATCAAACTAAAATCTAAGTCCACTCAATTTGATTATTATCAAATTTTGTTCATCCATTGTAAGGAATACCTGACTAGAAACCTATCTTTTTGTTGCTATTTCAATCTAGAAATGGATCACATCCTAATGATTTTATACTCACTAAATTATGTAACTCTTATAATAATCAAAATATCATATAGTTTTTTTTTTTAACTTATTCAAAATGTTGTGTAGCTTTATTAACTTACGTCTTAATGTGAATGACCCTATGTGTATTATATTGTAAATCTAATACAATTATGTTAAAAATTTTAAAAAGGGAAAAAAAAAACAAGAAAAACAATATTTCTTATATTAATTTGATAAAAAGGTGAAGACGGTTAGAGATCTGTCAGACAGCCATGCGACAAACCTAGTTGGTTTAGCTAACCAGGGACGATCCTCTACAGCGTCGATGACCCAACGAGGATCATCAAACCGTTACTCATCACGCTCCGATCACGCGGTCATGATTCATCCATCAGACGTGGGTTCCTGTCTCCTTTGCACTAAAGGATACAGAGGTACGGTCCTAAAGAACGGATCCAGTTCATGACTACAGAAATGATCTAGTTGTACTAAAAACGTTGTTTAATTTATGAAGCAGTACTTTCCGAGGTGGGATTTTCATTCAAATATGGAGAGGCGGAAAGACGGAATTGACCCTCTGAGCTGTGGCTTATTATTCTGGAAGTTTCGTTTGAAAGATGCAGAAAAGGGCTAATTAGTTAATTATCTTTCGTTCTTACTTAATTTGCTTGGAGTGCAAACAATCATATACCTGCCCTGAGTTTAATTATAGACTATAGTTGTATTTAGTAACAAATTTTTTTGTTTTCAGATAATTCTAATTTGCTTTTAAATTTAGAGTTTATCAAAATATTTTTTTTGTCCTATTTATTATCACGAGTATTCGAAAATCTATTGAATTTTAACTATGTTCGGCTCGAACAGTGCATCACTCATATAAGAACAAGTCTCTCAACATGGCAATTTCATATTTAAATTTAAATTTGAGATATTTAATTAAGAGAAAAGAAATCTCAGTATTTCAACCAACGCTGATTCATTATTTTAAATTAATTCTTTATTCCGTATTTTACTTGTAATTGGTATAAGAGCTAAGAAAAGTTATTATTTTTTGCTTATTTTTTCAAAATCCAAAGGTAAGAATTATCAAATTAAACCAACACCCTTCCCATCAGTAAGCTATAGCTGCTGCTAAAAGTTTAATCGGATAATTTAGGAAAATTCTTCAATAAATTAACCAGCACATAGAAATTAAGTTTATCTGGTTTCACATTACAATGAAATTATTTATTTTAACGTTTAATGAAACACTGATAAAACAACTAACAATTATTAATATATTCACATTATTAAACGTGTTTAAAAAGCGAATATTTGTAACATTTTTTACTCTTTTAACTAGTTTTTGGTCCATAATTTTTTGCTTCATAAATCATAATTGGTAATTTTTTTAAAGGGTTCTGCAACACTTTAATTTTGCTTGGAATACAAAATTAAGTAATTAGAGTTTTATATTTATAATAATAATAAGTTAATTTAGTATCGAATTTTAAATATTTAATTAGTACTAGATACATGGTCAATCGATTTTGAATACCAATAATTTATAATTAAAACATTGTTAACTATTTTTTATAATAAATATAAATAAAAAATAATTATAATAACATTGTTATCTCACGTCAGGTATTTATTCAACATATAAAATTTGTATAATTCTCCTTCACTTGAGTCGTATAGGAGAGTGAGTTCCATTTTATTAACATGATCTGGTGTTGCATTTGTGTGCAAATTTTACATTTCATTAAATAATAATAAAAAATAAAACTAATCAAATTATATATAGGGAATCATATGTAATCCGATTGATTTTTTTATCTCTCCAGATCCGTAACCGTTAAAATAGCCACAAATCGGAGGCAAAGGGACTGGTCCGGGAGGAGTTTCCGTTATGGTGGATTGAAATCATGATTTAAACCATGACGATGATGATTAACTTTCCAAGTGCTAGTTACCATTGAAATATTTCATTTCAGGTTAATCAAATTATATTTTATATATTGATTAATAAAACTAATAAAATAATTTTTTTTATAATACAATTACCAAATTGAATTTATTTTTTCTTTATGAAAATACTCGAATTTCTGTTCTGGAATTGAGGAACATATTGTTTGTGATGGATTTAGTAATTTCCTATTAGATACAGTGTTATCCAAATCCATATAATTTCGAAGTCATCATTTTTCTGACTACACGCAACTAACTCGTATAATCCCCTCTGGTCTCTCTGTGTGTATATATATATATATATAACCACGGTAGTAGAAGAGAAACCATTAACCATGAGTGATCAAAGCCAAAAAGCTCATATCTTTGAACTCAACAATGGAACTATTCGTGTTAATCTCACCAACTATGGTGCTACCATTACTTCCCTCTTCGTCCCTGACAAAAAAGGTTTTCTTTCTTCTTCAGCTTTCTTTTCTTTCTTTGAACAAGTGTACTTGAAGAGAGTATCATTTTTTTTTTTAATTTGTCTATGGATTGATCTTTGCAGGCGAGGTTGATGATATTGTTCTTGGATTTGACTCTATAGAAGAATATATGGTTAGTTTTTTAAATTGTTCATTAGAAAGTTAGGATTTTTATGATTTTAGCGGTACGTATCGAGTTAATTGATAATTTCTGTTTCTTGATAAAGATTATAGTTATGATTTGATGTATTTTTTGAAGCTAAAGCTTTATAATTGTGAATTGATCGATTGAAATTTGTGTTTGGAGCAGAAAGGAAATGCGCCTTATTTTGGTTGTATTGTGGGTAGGGTTGCAAACAGAATCAAGGAAGGGAAATTCAGTCTTGAAGGGGTTGATTACTCTTTGGCTGTAAACAATGGACCTAACAGTCTCCATGGTAATGGTTAAATTATTTCATGAATTCATGGATGAGCTAAATGTTCGTTAATCTTTTTTTTTTTTTTCTCTCTTTTGATTCAAGTTTAATCCAATTTCATCTGGAACTATTGCTTTTGAGGCCTAAAAAAATTCATCCACTTGAGTAACTGCTGTCTGCGTCGCTGTGGAGAAGCTTTAGGAAAATATGAGAAGAACTGAAATTTTGAAGCTTATGGTTTTGCTTCTTTTTTTTTTTTTGTTTTTTTAAATAATTTTTTGGTTTAAGAAAATGAATGAATCTCAAAATTTTTAAGCATTTTCTATCCAGTAGTTTACTTATCTTTGCAAAATTCTAATCGAGGTTTAGCTCTTTGTTTTGCTATAGTATAATCAATTACAAATTGCTTGTATTCCAGATTAATTAGGAAAACAAATAACCTGTGTACTTATTAGACAAAAGAAGTATTTTGTGTAGCTCCTCATGATGAGGTTGTAAACCAATATGTCATTGTGATCATATGATTTTTCAACGCTTGTGTGCAACGAATTAACTGAATCTACCTTGTAACATGGCTGGTAATCAAAACATGATTTGAGTCTGTAATGTAATCATCTTTGTTTTTCAATTTTTTTTGTTTTTTGGAGTTTTTTCTTTTCCTTACGTTAAGCCAAAAAACTGTATCCTGGATAATGTGTTTTTATAGTGTTCTAGAAAGTTAGGACTTGGCAAAATATGGAATTGGTTCCTGCAGCTTTATAGTTTCTGGCTCTGCAACTAAGATCAAATTCAGTCCTTTGCTTGGTGAATCCTTGATTTTTTACCACAAGGCATTTCTTTGTTCTTTCGTGTAAAATTGAAGTTATTATGGATGAAGTGTTTCAGCATTACTAACAGCTTGTTGAAGTGTTTCTTCAGGTGGTAATAAGGGATTTGACAAAGTGATATGGGATGTTGTCGAACATAAAAGTGGTGAAAAGCCATCTATTACCTTCAAGTATGAAAGTTGTGATGGGGAGGAAGGTGCGCTCCTTTTTCATTTTTGTGCTTTTCTTTATATTGCTCCCATATCAATACTGATGTTTCACTTGTTTATAAAACCAGGATATCCAGGAGATGTTACCGTAACTGCTACTTATACACTAATTTCAAGTACATCAATGAGGTTGGACATGGAAGCATTGCCTAAAAATAAGCCCACTCCAGTTAACTTAGCACAGCATACATACTGGAATTTAGCAGGTCACAGCTCCGGAAATGTGCTTGACCATTTGGTTCAGATATGGGGATCTCACATAACCCCTGTGGATCAGGACTCAATTCCAACTGGTGAGTTCTTGCTGGTTAAAGGCACAGTTTTTGACTTTACTTCAGAGAAGAGAGTTGGAAGCTCGATCAGTGAAGTCCCCGGTTTAGGGTACGACCATAACTATGTTCTTGATAGTGGAGAAGAGAAATCAGGCTTAAAACATGCAGCTAAATTGAAGGAACCTTCTAGTTCTAGAGTGTTGAACTTATGGACGGATGCACCTGGCATGCAATTCTACACTGCAAATTATGTGAATGGTGTTTCTGGAAAAGGCGGGGCTGTCTATGAAAAGCATTCAGGGTTATGTTTTGAGACTCAGGGCTTTCCAAATGCCATTAACCAACCAAATTTTCCTTCCATTGTCATTCATCCTGGACAGAAGTACAAGCACACAATGTTGTTTGAGTTTTCAGTTGAGTAGATTTTATTATTCTTGCAAGGATTATAGAGGTAATTTTGGCTTCACTTGATTAAACTTTTTGTATATTTGGAGTGGAGGCTCCCTTTCTGGAATACAAAAGGTTTTGTTAGAGTTGGATTGTAGAAAATAATTCTGAATAATAATTTATTTACTGAAATGTGATGATTTATAGATTTCCAGAATGCGCTCCTGTTTCGTTCAACTCTCTCTATATATCTGAAACAAAGATATCTTTATGCAGTTATTATGCTAAGTTCCAAAGCCCATTGGTTTTCTTTATCCATAAAATATTCAAGACCGGAAGGTGTTTTCTGTATACTTTGTAGTTTACCATTTGAACCAGTTATATAATTCTTGACTAGCGAAATTTTCACTTTTTGATCTAAAATGAACAAACTGTTTGCCATTTCTGCTAATTTGGGGTGGAAAATGATGGGATTCACATTTCTTCACAAGGTGTTGGAAAAAAGAACAAACATGAACTTTAATACTCACAAATATTAACACATTGCTGCAACCATATGATATAGTCAATGAGAAAACTAGGAGATGGAAGAGTTAACCCTTCTTCCTCTTCCCCTTCCCCTTCAAATCTTTACCTCCCTGGAAAACTAACAACACCTTAGTTCGAAGATATCTAACTAAACACTCAAACCAAGGAGATTTGTGCACTCCTCTTTGTCTTTCTCCTTTGGCTGGAAAAAGACTTCCTGGAGGAGTTACTGCAAAAATTTGGGCGTTATACTACTCTTGTAGTAAACCCAATAAGAGGTCATATAGAACCTGCAGCGGACTCTTCAGTATTTTAGTCTGAAATATCATCCACCACCAATTTAAACAAAACAGCCCAAGAAAATTCTCAATTCCATTATGAGATTTCCTGGATTTTTGCAGAAAAAGTTCCTTCAGCTTTCTGGCTTGTTTTTTAATGTGAAGCTCTCCTGCTCCCCCATGAGAAAGTGATCTGCATTATCAAAACAAACTAATTATATATATATATATATATTTTAAATAATCACAGTTTTTCTGGAATTTATGTTCTTCTTGGAATGAGTAACACGAAATTAGTATGGATTAAAGTTGAAATTGCTTTTCCGAAAATGTGTCATTTTGAATATTGGAAAAAGCAGTTTGGAAGTGGTTTTTAGTTGCTTGAACTTTTATTACTAGCAAAGATGAAATCCACTTTAAAAATAAACTTCAATAACATCTAATCAATAGTTTAAGAGTCTCAATAACAGCTCAAATTATTGTTAACAATATAAAGAAAAAAAACTAATGTTCACCTCTCATCTTCTCTGCCTTAGTTGTTGGGTAAAACTTCATCCTAGAGGGTCATCACTGATGTTCCTAACTCGAAGTTCCACTGCTCGAAGATCCCGTAGATGTTGCAAAATCTCTTGAAGAAGATCCATTCCTTTATCTCCTTTCTTTATTGAACTCATACAATGCTTTAGGAACTCTCTATCAGCTTCAAGAGCTTGCAGCCTTTCATAAACATGATCTACTTCTTCTTCAAGAGCAAGTTTCTTGCTGTCTAATTCAAATTTTGGAATTGAAAGGTCTTCCATTTCAAGAAATTCAGATTCCATATTTTCTTCAAACATCAACCCTTGTTCATTTTCATTTTCAGCAGCATCTAAAAGAGGAAGAAGGCTTTTCGCCATGGAACCCATAGTTTTCCTCTCATTATAATGTTTTTCCTTGGATAACTCGTGCTGCGAAATCCCATTTTCTTCTGGTGTACTTAATTCACAGATTTCATCAAATCCTTTTAAACTACTTCCGTCCTCAATAAGTTCATTTTCATGCAAAGTAAGTAACTTTTCCTCTAATGCCTTAAGCTGATCTAGAATAGAAAGCCTTTCTTCCTCAAATTCCAACAACGAGTCATCAAGTGCACTTATTTGCTTTACGCAATCTAACGCTATTTCCTCCAAATTTATAACTTCTTCACCAGGAGTATTTTCGTTACTGCTATCTTGATTTCCATAGACATTAACGCTACAATCTTCATCTCTTGCTTCACGATTAAGATCAATTGATAACTCATCAATATCCTCTGAATTGCTAAAAGTAGCAGAAGAATTAGAGTTTCTACTCCTCACACTTCCATCTCTACTTCTTCTCATGATTCTCATTTTCTCTTTAGCCTCATAATCGAAAACCTTCTTTCGATAAACTTCCAATTCTTTCTCAAGTTCTTGCTTCTCTCTTTCTCTCTTCATCATAAGCTCATTAAGAAGCTGCAAAGCTTCTTGATCATATTCAGATTGTTCTTCCATCATTCTTTGGTATTGCAATGCTTCCATTTGCATTGCTGCCTTCTCTTCTTGAAGCCTATTTATCATTGCCATAGTTTGGTTTGCAGCAATTGCAGAAGCACTCCTTTCTTCCTCCAGTTCTGAATATAAAGCATTTAGCACCTTTCTTTCAGCTTTAAGGGCTGTTTTCAGCTTTTCGACAGTTAGAACTGGATCTCCACCTTCCATTTCATCCAAGGAATCTTCTGTCCCAGATTCTCTTTTGTCTAATGCAACTAGTTTCTTGTGCAAGTAGTGAAAACTGTCAACAGAAGTTGGCGTCTCCGGGGATTTCTCGTCCTCTGCTTCATTAGACTCTGAACGAATAGAAGAATGTTGGATTTTAGCTTCTTGTTCCATATTATCAGCTGAAATCAAATTTCACATTAGGTCTATTTTCTTATAAAGGTTTTTCCAAATATTAAGCAAATATTTGGTAAATTGTGATATGATGTAATGCAACAAATACACCTTTTGTTTAATGTTTGAGGGATTTCTACATACCAAGTTCCTTATGAGCCATGTATGTTTCATCAGGAATTTCTGCACAATTTTCTTTTGTTGAATTGTGATTATCTTCTTGCATGCATGTCAACGAAGGAGCTGAGTCTCGTTCTTCATGTTGATTGATTGAACAATCAATTTCATCAATCAACAGTTTGAAGTCGTTTTTTCTTTCTTCCCGAGCTGCTTTTTTTTTTTTTTAAATTAATTGCGGAATGTTCAAGAACTAAGGAAAAAGTATAAGAAAGAAAGAAATTTCAAAAAATGAATGATTTTTGTTTACCTGGAAGGTCTTCTTGTTCTTTAGTGTCTGCTATATTGACATTGTTGTCATCGACAAATGAACACTGAGTTTCTTGTTCACTAACCCAATCTCTTTTCATTTCTTGCAGATCTAAAGTTTCAACTTCTGCAAAACTTAACTTAACTGGAGTTTCAAGATTTTCATAATTTTCCACATCTTCTTCCTTCAAAATGAAAGATCCAAGGTTTGTAAAAGTTGATGAATCAATCAATTCAACAGGAATTAACCTATTAAATTCACCTTCAAGATTATTTCTCTCACAACACATATAATTAATCATTTCAAATGAACTATCTTGATCTTTTCCAAGAAAACCCTGATAAGCAGAATTCCGATCATCTCCATTTGCTTCTTTTTCATCACATTCAGACACAGAACACTCTTTCTCTGCAGAATCTTTAAGGCCAAGACTTCCAACATCAGACAGCAACATTTTATGTTCTTCCTCTCCATCATAATTTTCTTCAATCTCCAAACTATTATCTTTACTCAGCAATTTACACCCATTTCCATTGTCTGCATAATCTATAATTATATTTCCTTTCTGGGTATACCTTAAAGTCTTCAAAGAAGTATTGAACAACAAGTAAGAAGGATAGCGATTCTTGTTCAAGTTCTCATTACAACAAGAACATAACTTTTCACCATTTTCAAGCGTATTAGTGCTTACCCAAGAAAGAAATGCAATCCTTCTCGTAATTAATCCATTAATAGTAGTATCTTCACTTTGATTTGGCCGCGAATTAGCCAAGCAATCCATGCACATACTTTGTTTTTCCGCAAGTTTCTGATGACTCTTGCAATACCCGAGCTTGGAAATCTCATTGGCATGAGTTTCACATATAAGATTTCTGTAAGAGTTGGTGTTATTTTGGGGTTCTAAGACATGATCAACCCTTGAACACCATAGACAAGGCGGTGTAAGGCCAAAATAGTTGGCAAATTTGGTTATAAGGTAAGTAAAGAAAGAGTTTAGAAGAAGGAGAATGATCAAGATCCATTCAAGAAATGCATAAACTAGAATTACAGTTAGTTTGTGTGTGTTTCTTTGAAGCATTGTTGCAAACTTGTTTGGAGCCATGGCTGCTGCTATAGAAAATGGAAAATTTTTCTTTTGCTATTTACACAGAAGAGAAGAGAGAGAGGAAAAGGTTAAGAGGAAATGGAGAAAGTTTGTTATGCTTTGACAAATCAACAAATACTGAGATTTGTTGTGTTTTCTTTTCTTTTTCCTTTTTTTTCTTTTATACTTGTAGTATTAGTTTATTGAACACATTTTTATATTGTTAATTGTGATATATCTCTTGCATATGAGAGCTGAGACTATCATTGAGGTTGGTGCTTCAACTCGAGTGAAATTTGGGTTAATTTAAAGATTTTTTTTTTTTTTTTTTGTTTAAATCTTCCGCCAACCATAAGTTTATGGGCATGTTTGTGAATAGAAAATTGAAATTATAGATTGAAAGTAAAAATAATAGACAGGAGCATTGTCGAACGAGGTACCTATAAACACTCTGATGCTTAAATTAGTAAAAAAAAAATAATTGAGGATTACGTTCTTAATTGAAACTTATTAAATTCATTAAAGAATTATAAAGGTTACTCATTAGGAGTGTTGATTGTCAGCACTCGACTAGTATTTGATTTCCTGATGGAATCTAAATAAGATTTATTAAGTGGATGCGATTGCTTGATGGTTCAAACTTAAACTAAATTATAAATTTTTTATTTTATTTATAAACTTAAATCATATTGATATGCCAATTTTTATTACCTTCTAGTAATATAGGTAATTATAAAATTTAACTGAAAATATATTTTACGCTGATTCATTGATATAACCGCCTAATCTTTACTAATTATGTTTCAAATGCAACTAAATATATGTTGAAAATAATTCAGATATCCTAAAATTAGTTAAGCAGCCTCAAAATATCATCTGGAATAAGGCTATCATTGCAACCAAACATTTTCAATTCAGGCATACGCTGGTCCTACCTGAATTGATTTCGCCTACAGCACGCGCAAGGGATATGGCCCACCACCTTGGATTAGTGGGCCAGGTTTTGTATACATAGAATATGGATGGATGGCCCACTGCAGTGCCACCGTTAAGACAGACGCTCTTGGCATCTCATCTTGCTTGATATTTTTTTTTTTTTTTTAAATTGTTGAATAATTTTGTTATTATTGATCCAAATCCGTATTTTCTGCAGTGTTTATTTTGCTTGTCTCTTCAATAATCAATTTAATATCTTCTTCTTTAATTTTTCTCTTTTTAAAAAAATATCTTTCTTCTTCTTTTGTCGTTTTATGCTATCCTACCAAAGGATGAAAGGTAGTAAAGAGAATAATAAACAGCAACAAATTACCTTATCAATCAAAAATTTTCTCAACCAATTAACTCTGGTCTGATTAATTTTTCCGTATTCCATAAATATTATAGATAGTAAAAGTCTCAGATTTAAGTACTTTTCATTATAAAAATTATTATTAATTTAATAAATTTATTTAAAGAAAATATTATTCTTACTTGTAATTTTTTATATTCTTTTCATTCATTTATTGAATCTCCCGTGAAAAATAAATAAATAAATAATTTTATAGTCAACCTAGTGTTATTAAACCCAATCTGAGTATTGATTTGGCTAGAAAATAAGATTGGCAGATTATTAGTTTAACTAGCCGGTCACTATTTCAATTAGAGTCATATAAATATTAATAATATATATTAATTAATTAATTAATTATATTATAAAATAATTATAAATTAACAAAAAAAAAAAAAATCGTGTACCAAGTATTCCATATGGAAAGTTGATACTTCTAGATAAGATATAGAGAAAGAGTGTCTGCTCGTATTAATGCACCCCTACTGTATTATGCCTCTCTCTCCTCGTCTATATGTCTAAAAGATCTGTACTCTTGAAGCTAGCTCAATTTAGATAAAAGACTCTTCACTTTAAGAAAGTTTTTAGTCCTTTAGGAACACATTTTCTTGTCTCTATCAATCTCGAACTATGATAAATTTCTATACTTTACGACACGCATTTATTTTGCTTACGAATGATATATATAGAGGTAGTTAATATAATTCAATTAACATACTCGTGTTAACTTGAATTCGCAGCCTCGGACTCGAAAAAAATAACACTGAATATAGGCAATAAAATTTTTTATGACATCCGATAACGTTCGGATATAGAGAATGCACACTAGAGTGACGCGGTACGATTGCGTTATCTGAGGGTTAATAGTAAGGAAAGGACAGGCCACGAAATAGACTGGGATTGCGGCAAGGAGATGACGCGTGAGGTTTGAGTCGTGTGATGTCTTTTAACGAGACCGACATAATGCTACCAGGAATCTATCAGGCAAACTACCGGGGAAGCGTAAACGTGCTTGGGTGAGTGTGATTATTATATGATACTTGAAGCCTGGTCACTTTATTTTCCAAGTGTGAAGACCGTTCACTAATTGGAGAAAAGTTTGCATTATAGATGTTGGCACCTCTACTCTACGTGTGATTTTTCTGCTTAACATTTCGAAACTTCTTAGCCTATTATAGTCTATACTCTCAGATCAGTCACAATATAAACCACAAAACGAAAGATTTAAGAATAACCACATCTTAGGGTATACTACGGTGTCATCTAATTCCTACTTACTCTACTACATGGTTACTAATCTAATGTGAGTATCAAGAGTAAATCAGTATATAACAATAAATCATTTAACAAAAAAAAAAAAAATCAGTTTAGGTCAACCAGCTCTATACAGATCAATTAGTTCAATAACAGATTAATCGGTTCAATCCAAATCTCTATTTTAAATGATTCAAAGGTAAAATCGGATTATTCATTTTCTGGGTTTACCCGCCACTACGGATCAGGTTAACTATGGGATTAGCTCGAATTTTTTTTCTCTTTAACTTTTTATGATGTTTTAATTTTCTTCTTCTTTTTCCATTGATGAGAATTCTTATCTTGTTTACTTTGTTTCAAAGGAATGCTCCTAATTTATTAAAGCTGAAGCCTGGTAAAAAAAAAATTCTTCGTTAAAGTTTCATGTACATCGTAAGATTTTTTTTTTCTTTTTCAATAATGTAAAGAGTCACAAAGTGGGATTGAACCCATTAAATCATTGAACAATAACAAATTTATTAAAAGAAAAAAAAAATCAACTTCTAACTATATATTTTAAGCTCATAGTCAACGAAAAAAATTATTTAAATAATTATTAATTATTTTAATATCAGATTTTCAATAAATATTAAGAGAAATAATATCTCGTAAATTGGCTCTGAACTCTAAACACTACATTAAATGCTATTATCAAATGACGATGTAAAGCTTAATTATAATTAATTCGGATGCATAAACTGCTTATTCATGAAAGGGAAATGAAGAGTAGTAAAGAATTCTTTTGGATGAGGAAAGTATAGAAAACAATAGGAATGCAATTGTAGATAAGATAAAGAAATGTTTTCATTAAGATAATAAGAGGAATTTTTGGTATAATGTCAAATAAACAGAGTATTGTGGTTATAGCATCACAGTCAAATGTTGATTTAAGTTCATGCACTGGAGAAATTTAAATAAAAAGATAAAAAAAAAAAAATGGTAAAAAGTGAAAACTTGGGATTCTATTTTTAAAATAAAAGTAAAAGGCAAAAGAAATGATGAAACACAGGAGTCATACAGTGGCAGACATTATGGAAAGGCTCATATCAAAGAAAAAAAAAAAGTAAGTTGAAAAGGAGGGAAAGTAGATCAAATTAAGGGCCTTTGATAGTGACCTAATAGTCCTACTGTAAATAAAGCTGTTATGAAGGTAGTGTCTAGTTTGTGATTATGGTCCCTATTTCTGCTTTTGCTTTCCCTTTTTTCCTCTTTAGCTTTTGAAAAGTTCATTCTTGGGTTAAAGAAATTAGAAATTGTTAATTAAAAAATCTCAAGTTGATTACAACTCTTAATTACATGAAATTTATATTATTTTTTTTAGAAAAGGGTTACTGGACCAAAATTCCAAAAGTAGATGAGCATACACAAGTATTAAGAACTTAAACCCTAATTATCAAGTATAAGAATTCTAGTGGAAAACAAAAAATAAATTGACGTACAAGAGATTAATAATTTATATCTTAGCGAGCTTTTTTTCCATTTATTTTTTATTCTAGAATTTCTAATGTATCAAAAATTATGAAAAAATGGAAAAAGACCACTGGTGTGATCTAACCATATGGTATGCGACCCACCATTTTTTCTGGGCCCAATTGAAGTCCAGATTTTGCCATTTCAATATGTGATGTTGGTCAAGCATGGCCTATTTGAGGTCAATTGGTGGACCATCCACATTGAATTTGCAAGAACTATCGTGTGCTTTCTTGAAAGCTGGTGCTTGACTGGTTCTAGTACGGGTCTGTTCAATAGAACTAGTTATTTTAGTAACGATTAACTATTTTAGTAACATCTAACTGTTAACTGTTTGAGTTATTTTTCACAGAACGCTAAAAGCTAAACGTTATCTGAGTTAACTTTTTATAAAATACTATTTTAACCTCTAAAAGTTAGTTCAAACGTTATGTTATTGAACACTATAAAAAATAGTCTCAGTTAAATGCAATTGTATCATTACAATTACAATTTGGAAGATGTACCTTACTCACGAACTCATGAAACTCTATTACACATAACTGAGATTATATTCTAGCTAATGTGTTGGGGGGGGGGGGAATATCATTACAATATACAATTGGAACAATTTACCTTACTCACGAACTCATGAAACTCTTTACACATAACTGAGATTATATTTTCCTATTGCTTAATCTTGTCTGTTTTGGGGTGGTTGGTGGGTGGGTTGGTTTTGTTTTTTTATAAGGTTGTCTAATTATTCGGTATTTTCCGTTATTTGTTTTTTTTGGGGTACTGTTTCTTATTTTCTCATTATAATGACTTCTTTATACTATAAATTAAATTGGCCAAAGCAGGTATATAAATTATTTCTTTTATATCGATTTATCTTGGTATAATATATTATTTTATATATGTTACTTTTATTAGGCAGAGATCATGTGACGCCCGTATATGCATTAACTACAGCAGTCGAGATGCCTGTAGTGATCACTTAGATGGATATACTCTGCAACTCATATATCCTACATAGATATTCTACAGTTTAAGTGGTATGTATGTTTTCTACCATATACTCAGTATGTTTATCATTGGTTAGTTCTTTCTTCCTCTTCAAAAGTTGGGGTTTTTGATTACTGTCATAAAAACCCTCCACTGTCTTCCTGCCTCTATTTCCGCACTGTGTGTGGTTTTTAAAGTTATAGATCTAGAGGCTGCGCACAGTTGCCGTGGATAATCTTCTGCTAGCCTATTCTGACAAAATGAATGTTCATAATGCAAATTGTGCATTTGAGGGAAGATAATGACAACTGAGTTCAAAAAAAACTTCAGAAAGAGAACGTAACCTTAATGCTCCCATGGCCTATGCATTTCCAAGTGTCCACATTGATGGGCTTGCTGGCTAATTGCATTTTTGCCTGATCTGACTATGCCTGTAACGGAAATAAAACTAACAATAATTACCAAAGGGAAAGAAGAAAGATAATGCGCGAGGGAGGGTTTACGTGAAGTTATTCAAAAAGCTAAAAGTCTAAACATATATTAAGAGACTCTGTATAGACATAAAAATACAACTTTTGTATATGCATAAAAGTGTAAAATTCTTTTATCTTTTCACTAAGAATATTATTATATTTCTATGTTTTTGTGATCATGACTTGAAAATATGTTATTTCATCATTGAATTCAATTTTATACACGGAAAAAAAATTTAAAACAATCTTAATAAAATGAATTAGTGATATGTACGAAATTGCAGTTAATAATAGAAACAAGGGATTTAGGTTTTTCCCTATGGTACAGACTTCATAATAATGCTCGGGCTGTTTTTTATTACTTTTATCTTGTATATTTCATTGGTATCTTCAGTCATATGGCGATGTGTATAAAGATCAAGAATAACTTCAGAGTTAAATTCCTTAAATATATATGTTAGCATGCCTTGTGAATGTACTTATGATAAAACCAAAATACTTATGAAAAACAGTTAGCTAGTAACATCCATGGTGGAAAAAGCAGTTAATTGTCCAGGTAAGACAAATAATTGGAGACAATGTGGGGAAGCCATTGACAAGAACATTGAAAATTTGCTTACAAGTAGGTTTACCTCTGTATTAACATTCTGGAGAACTGAACCATTTTCTGCCAATCAATGATTGAGCACTAGCTTGTGATCGAGTCCAGTAGGCTATTTGCCTTTATAGATATCTTTGTATGAGTGTTGCAAACAACATACTTCTTAGCTGCTCCAAAGAGGAAAGAATTGCGGGGGGGTGGGTTTGGGGTTTATAAGGTGCAATATTGGTAGTTGATGCCTACTCATAAATGACCTTAACAAATAAATTGGAAGCAGATAAGAATCCTTTAAACATTACTTGGATATATATAGTAAAGGACTATCAGAATATGAGAGCCCTTTTGCATTACATCAGCATTCATTGCCTGTAGTGATCACTAGATGGATTAACCTGCAACTCATAATCCTACATAGATATCTACAGTTTAAGTGTATGTATGTTTCTCTTACTCAGTATCGTTATCATTGTTATCTTCTTCCTCTTCAAATTTTTGATTCATCATAAACCTCCAACTGTCTCCTTCCTCTATTTCCCACTGTTTTTTAAGTTCATAGATTGCTTTAGAGGCTGCTGCAGCAATTGCTGGATTTCTATCTTCTGCTAGCCTCTGTAATGAATGTCATTAATGCAAATTGCTGCCATTTTAGGGAAGATAATGACAACTGAGTTAAAAACTTCAGAAAGAGAACTAACCTGTAATGCTCCCATGCCTGCATTTCCAAGTGTCCACATTGATGGGGCTGCGGCTAATGCATTTGCCAATGCTTGCCTGTAACGGAATAAAACTAACAATAAGTTACCAAAGGGAAGAAGAAAGATGCGAGGGGAGGGTGTTACGTGAGTATTCAAAAGCTAAAAGTCTAAAATTATTTGAGACTCTGTTTGGCATAAATGAAATTTTGTTTGCTAAAAGTGTAAAATTCTTTATCTTTTCATCTAGAATTTTATATTCATGTTTTGGCATGACTGAAAATGTTTATTTCACCCCATTGAATTCAATTTTATACACGGAAAAAAAATTTAAAAATCTAATAAATGAATTATATATTACAAATTCATTAATAATAAACAAGGGATTAGGTTTCCATGAAGATCATTAATGCTCTGCTTATACTTACTGATTCAGAATTCAGTCAATGCATGATCAGTAACTTGCGAGTTAAATCCTTAATATATATTGTTAGATGCCTTGTGAATGTTACTTATGATAAAACAAAATACTTATGAAAACAGTAGTAGTAACATCCATGGTGGAAAAGCAGTTAATTGTCCAGGTAAGACAAATAATTGGAGACAATTTTGGGGAAGCATTGACAAGAACATGAAATATTTGCTCAAGTAGGTTTACCTTGTATTAACATCTGGAGAACTTGAACATTCTGCCAATAATGATACACTGCTTTTACCATCCATAGCATCAAGATCTATGAGTGTTGCAATCAACAACTCTAGCTGCTCCAAAGAGGAAAGAGGCAATAAATAAGCAAATATAGAACTCAAAATAAAATCAATTGCCTACCGTATTAGGAAGATAAACATAGTGTCAAACCTCTTCGGGATCAGTATAGTCAATGCCATCAGCTTCAGAAAAAGCAGATGCCATACTCCAGTAAGCTTCCTGTACATTATCAAATGTACATTATGACCACTGAGAGAATTGGGGGAGAAAATTGCATATTGTTGGCTGAGAGAAGGAGGACCTGAATAGCAGTAATTCGATCAGTAGAAACTTCTCCAGGGAAGAAATCCAAATTCCTTCCGTTTTTCTCAAGCATTATACGTCCAAGAAAGTCATTAGCTGATGGTGAACCCTTTTCTCTTTGCAGAGGGCTGGTACTCAATAGCATCTTAGAAATTAGTGATTCAGGAGTTCAAAAATTTGGAGCAACAAGGGAGAACTTGAAAAATAAAATTAAAAAATGAAAGGCACGAGGAAGACATCCATTAACAAAAGAACTTACAATTTGTACAACTTGCTCACCATCAAATCATGAATATTCTTGACAAACTGCACAGACAAAATGAATTCCAAGAGGGAGACAGAAAAAATGAGAAGCAGAAGAAGAAACATTGTTTCAAAAAAAAAAAAAAAAAGAAGAAGAGGAAATATACTTGCAGTTACTACAGGATAATTGCAATACTAAAAACTTAAGCAAGTTAACCCATGTTGAGATAATTGCAGTCAAGGTCCATTGGTCCTAAACCATACAATTTTTACTTTCACATATCAATGCTGCTAATTAATTCACAAAGGGCTTACCTCCAAAGCCATTAGGGCATCTTCCATTGCTCTTTGCTTGGCACGGAAGTCAGCACGGCGCAAATCAGCCTGGAAAAAATTTCCAGAGGTTTCATGAAGGTATATTACATCAAATTGTTGTATCATTTATAATGTATATTGACCGCTTTGGAACACATCAAAACATTTAAATATGCAAACATCAGAACTGGTGTATAAATCACTCAAATTTAGCAATTCCTTTGCTTATTTTATACTGTTTATTCAATCTTTCGATAGCTATTCTTCTCCATAGATCTAATCCATTTTTATCCATCTTTTTCAAGGCAAATCATCTCTCCCCCTGCATAGATCTATTTTTTATGTTGTATACTGTCACATTTCTGTTAATTTTTTTTCTTCACATTTTCTCAACTTGATAAAACCTTTTCCTGCATTTTCTTTCTCTTTTCCCTCATCTCCAAAGCTGGAATCAGCAATTTGTATGTGCAAATATTGACATTCAGCACATTCCAATAAAACACCCTTAGAAGTTCCATTGATCTTAGTTCAATAAGATCTACGTAATATAAGAACTATGATATTACATAAAAATATCCCTTCAAGAAGCGAAGTGTGACCTCATTCTCTGTTTTCTGTCATACTTTCTATCACATGAGGCTAGGTGAACTTAAAAAAAAAAAACAGAGAGAGAGAGGGAGAGAAATTTTTTATGCATGGGCATGCACCTGTATGTGCAAATGGTGACATCTAACTTGAGAAACATGGTGATGGAGGATGTGGCAGTTATGGTGATGGTTTGAACATAAAATACAAGAGCAAGCAGCTGTTAGTACTACCATAAACAGGTCGTGATGTGGCTTCAGAAGTATTGAGATATAAAACAAGTTTCGTTGTGAATCATTAATTAAAAGAAGCAATGATGAAAAGACAATGGAAACAGAACAGAGGCAGGCACCTCTAAGGCTCCATCACTCCAATGCTTATCTGCAGCACTTTTCAATCTAGATTGGGCTCTGTCCTTTAAAATCTGCAAGTGATAAGATAATCAAAAACAGTTTTAGAAAATTTTTTAAGCTGGTAATCCATGAGTATGTGTGAGCTTTGGTCCATGCCTTCTTGGGATTGACTTACAAGCCTTTGTCTCAATTTAGCCAAAATTGAATTTCGATTTCAACAATAAAAAAAGGAAAAAAGAATTTCTATATGTACATACGCTAGCAATATGTTGAAGACGTTCAGCTTTTTTCTTCATGTTGCGGTCAATTTTCTCAGTATCCTCTCTCGCTCGAGCTACCACAGGAGAAAGATAAGACGAGAAGGAGAAACATATTAGAGGCCCCATGGAAAGATTTTACATCATAAAAAAATGAAGAATTTTCATTTTGCTTTCTCATCACCATGTAGAAAAACCTCAACTAAATAGCCTAGTAGTTGACTGCCTACTTCATAATAGAAATCAATGATTCCCCTTTCCTAAAAAGCAATTCTCTCTCCCACAAACTTAAAGAAAACTAAAGTCTTCAGGAACAGTAAGTAATGAATGGAAATAATAGGCCCATTTCAGATGCTCTGGAGAATTGAAATTCTTTTTGTACTTTGGTGTCAAAATTCTGATGGTAATAGATAGGTGGTATTTCAAATGCCTTCAGCTAAGAGTTATTGATTCTAGAAAAAAGGTAAAAGAATTTACCATCAAGTTTAAGAAATCCTGAACCAAGAATAGCAAAATCTTTGCGTACACGGGCATCCAACCTCATAATCCCACTATCAAATAAATTGGAAAATCATGAATACAGATATCCACACATTAAAAAAACATTCAAACAGAGAGGACATGATATTAAAATGTGCATGGAGCCAAGCTACTATTATTCTACTTCTTTAAGCAACAGTAAATTGAACAATTCAGCAGAAAAGAGAAAACTTGGAGTTTTTGGAAGATTTTCAACTATTAGATAAATGCTTTTGTAAAGAGGGGCTAAAGGTGCCTAAATTTCACAATTTATGAAGAACCTTCGAATATTTCAGACCTCATTGGCGATTTCTAAATAATTTCTCAAAATTCTGAAATGTTCTAGACTGGTAGCATTCTTATCATGTAATGCTAACAGTTACTACTGGCTATGAGTGAACTGATAAGTTTAATTAATTATGATCAAATGAAAAAAGGGCACAATATATTACCGTGAAAGTAAGATAATGTCATTGCGTGCTCTTTCATTTACAAATTTTGCATCATTATGTACAAATTTACAAGCTTCAGCTAAGCCCTGACTTGAGTGAATAACTCTCCCAGGCATGATGGAGCACTCATCTTCCTCCTCTCCATTTTGTGCACTGCTGTAAAAAACAGTTCATTATCAGTTAAAAGTTCCAACTGAGTCTCTGAACGCTCAACAACAGCAAAATTGGAGATATATAGAACAGCGAATCATTGGGCATGGAAGCATTAGTTCCTATTCCATACACAAATGAATAGATCATTTGGAAGGTTAATACTTTAGAAAATAAGGAAAACATAAACAAAGGAAGCAACAGAAAGAAATGGTTTAGTGAACATAACAACAACATTGAGAATATTTCCATTAAGAGAAGTGACAGGCATGCCACAAATATACTGGGGCACATCTAATTGTTGTGCAGACAAAGAATAGGAAATTCTCTTTGAAGGAATCATATTTAATTCATATATCTTAGGTCAATATATTTATAAAAGCACCAAAAGGAAATGCAAGATTTTGTGCATGAGCAAGTATAAAGTTAAGTTTTTATATAACTGAGAGTTGTCCGAATCAGTTACTTCACCATGGAAAATTAAGATCACATCTTTAACTATTCAATGCATAGCATTTTATCACTTCCAGTTTATTAAACCTTTAGGTTTTAACTTTTGAAGTGAGGATTATCATCAAGACCACTTCAAAACTAGAGAATAATCACAAAAATTTAAGCAAGTAATTTTCAGAAGTCAGCAAAACTGCATATTAAATGTGTGAAGTTCTTCAACTAACTTGGGGGACAATATTATTGTCTGGAAATGAGTACACATGCACTTTGCAGGAAAGACATTTCTCCATGTAGGCATCGTTTCTAGCATGTTTGGATATGATGGCTTGTGCAGTAACAATCTCAAGACTAACAAAAGAATCTATCTTTTCCAAAAGGCCCATGTGCATGCATGCATGTTCACATTATGCTTCAGCTTGCAGAAGCAAACATGAAGTTTTCATTACTTTAGCATTTGGTCCTACTGCTTCCACACATGTATAAACAAATTCGATTGTGCTTTCCTTTTCACAAATGGTGCAACTAAAACCCGATTGTATCTTGAACATATTTCACCAATCACAACTTGAGTGGAGACTAAGGAGTAATAGCACAATACTATGACTGACCAATCTGTTTCACATGTTAGATGGTCGGACTTGCTATTCCAACATAATTATCCATGTTATAACACCGTGCACCATTAGTCATATATCATACCAGTACATCCTTTTGGGTGTGAAAAAAAAATGAAAGTAGTCATTTACTTCAACATCAAAACAGTAACAAAAAGAAATAAACCATACATAGAAATTATATAAAGAAAAGGAACCTAAGCATAAATTAGCAAGAAATATAATTTGGCTAAGGTTAAACTATAAATGATTAAATAATATGACCTGGAAACATCAGAAGAATCACTGTAAGGTCTAACACACTCTTTTTCTTCAGTTCCAGGAGTTCGCGTTGATTGGCATAATGCAAAAGATTTCCGAGAGACAGTGAAACTAACAGGCTGTCCATGTATTCCCCACAAATTCTCACTTGAAACCAATTTTGTTGTCAAGAGATGTGCACTGCTTAGTTGCCACAGCTCAATTCCTTGATTTATAGGTTGTAACTTACTTTGTGGCGGTGACTTGGCAAAAGAAAATATAACTCTATTTGATCTAGGGGTACTTGTCCTCTGAGTCACAAAAGCACTGCTTGAAATCTTGCTTGCCTTAAGTGCCATGGGAAAGATCAACACAAAAATAAATTGATACCAACCAGCATTTCCTTACAGCAGCTCAATGCTGAAGTGAGAACAAGAAAATTATTTATACTGTCAAATACTGTCTGTACTATATGTGAAAAATCTTAAGAGAAGGAAATTCTAAAATACTCCTAGCCTAGAGGCCATATGAGGAGGATATGATAACAAAAACTTCATGAAACTCCATTGTTGCAAATTCTCCAATATACATCTATGCTTATGAACATGAAAATGAAAAGAGGGGACGAATTCAGCACATCTAATTTCTTTTAATTATTGGAAAGACTACATATTCACAACATTTGCATTAAAATAGATACTAGTACTGTGCAGAACAGAAACCACTTTATGCAAGTGGTCCAAGATGATTTCTTATCTACAACACCTTCCTTACTATTGGATTCACAAATACATCAAGTTTTAAGACGTTATAAATGTCAAATAAAACCATAAAAAGTGCAAAATAATCCATCCATATTTGTGGCTACATCAGCTCTAGAGCTTGTATCCCAGTCATTTTTCAAAATCCAAGATATTAGACATTAATGTGCATCAGAAGTAATTCTTTTACTTTTGGTTAATGCTTAAGGAAAAGCATTGGCATAAGGCTCCATGCATGAGTCAAGTTCAAGAATTCAGTCACCCCCGATTATGATCATTTCACATACTATGAGCTTAAAATTTTTAATTCTAGAAATGTTCTTATATAATTTCAGAATCGGCCTGTGAATATCAGTTACTTCCACTATAAACAAATAATCCAGGATCCAAGCATGAGCTCAGTGACCATTAAAAACTTAAAAAGAGCTTTCTGCATCAAAATTTGGTCTTGAAAAATTCTTAACTGAGAGCATATAAAAGCGCCATATTTCCAAGAATCTGATCGTGGTAAAATGCTAATCACATGTTTTATCACCATAAACCACAAAGAACAAATCATGAAGCCTTCAAAATTACAGAGACTTCCCACACAATTCAATCAAAAAAAGAATTTCCTTCTATAGCAAATACAAGCCCTTCAGCAGAAATCCATAAATTCTGAGCTAAAAAACTTCACTGCAAGCTGAGCATATAAAAATCGAGATACAGTAAAATGATAACCTCAAATTTCAAACTTTGAATAAAAAATAACAACTAGAAGCAGAAATAAAAGGAACTCACAAGAGAACAGTGTTAAAAAAAATTTAATCAGAACAGTATTGAAATGAAGAAATGCAAAGAGAGCAAACTACTGACCTAAAGAAAGCAGCACTGGTTTCTCTGACACGGAGAAGTTGAAACAGAGTTTGAACCTTTGATTATATATGGAAATTTAGTGGGTGACATGGGTCCCACAGAGTTGGAAGAAGAAATAGCAGCCACAAGCAAAGGATGTGGCCTAGTGAGGGCCAACACTAGCAGACAATAAAACTGATAAAAGTGAAAGATCAACATATTGATGAGATGAAAGAGGGCTGAAGCCCATTACAGTCACTAATAATGAATAGAATAGACAGGGGACTTGGAATACAAGAGAGCCAATCAGCTGCTTGGTTGGCTTGTCTCTTACTACGAACTTTGAATTTCTCCACCTATAGCTGAAATTCCCAAGGGTCTTGTTGTTTAGCAATCAATCAACTCCTTATCCGTTTAATTTGGACATCTCGTATTGGTGACAAGAACCAACTGAGAATTGCCTGGACTGAATGAAAGATGTTAGCTTGCTGGAATAATAATCACAATAGAGAAAGACAACACATCACCATGCTAATCCGATGCTCACTTCTTCAGCAAAGGCATATCCACCTTCATGGCCATGGCCGGGTCCTTCACTGTCTTCCTTCTTCATGGGCAATCACCACGTTGTCATTGTTGGATAGACCTGCCAGGAACTAAGGCAGATACACTTTCGACCTATTTGCCAAACATTTGCATTCGTTCTTATAAACAAAACTATAATTTTCGATATATGTATTTATATCTTTGAACATTTACTCAAGAATTAAAATAGGTCATGGTTGGATTATCCGCGACTCAAACTTCCTCTTCGGACGGCCCTTTGTCTCGAAAGGGGAGCGTAAATTAATGAAATTTATAGACTATTAAAACAGATAAGACCCTAAATATTTTGTGCAAGTATTAAAAAAAACATATAATCTTCCAATTTATAAACATTAGTCATGTTATGACGTGTGTTGCATGTGACTATACACGTTATTCATACTCGTTCGTTCAATTTTTTAAGTCATTTTTCACTTATTATTTATATTATTTTTATTTTTTAATATTAAATATTGATTATAATTTTTATCTTATATTATTTAAATTTTTATAATGTTAAAATAAAGCATCTTATTTATGGCATTCGTCTTCTTATAACAACAAAAACAATATAATTTTCGATATACATGTATTATATCTTTGAAACATTTACTCAAGAATTAAAATAGGTCGTTGGATTATCCGCGACTCAAAACTTCCTCTTCGGACGGTCCCTGTCTCGGAAAGGGGAGCGTAAATAATGAAATTTATAGACTATTAAAACAGATCAAACCCTAAATAGTTTGGTGGCAAGATTAAAAAAAAACAATATAATATTTCCAATTTTATTAAAACATTAGGTCATTTATGACGTGTCGACTAAACCGTGGCCTGGTGGGCATGTGAACTATACATTATTCATTACTCGTTCGTTCAAATATTATTAGAGGTTCGGAATATGTGTCATCTTTATTTTTTATTATTATGTGATGTATTGTTATTTAATTATGTCTATTTTAATTTAAATTTGTTTAATTACGTCAAATCTCCGTTTGTTCGGAATGTTATTCTTTTCTCACAGATTTAGTCTGTATGATACTATATTAAGGTTGAGAAGAGGGTTAAGGCATTCAATTATTTAGATATATGCATATAGTGTGTTCATAGATAAAAAAATCATGAACAAGGTGACCTAGTTTTATCCTTAAGTGTGAGTAAAGGGATATATATATAAATATTTCTTTATTTATGGGTAAGGTAATATATTATTATATTTATTTTCACTCTCTGTATTTTAATTTTGTTGATATCTATCATTTTATTTTGATAATAACATTGCAATTTTCATAGAACTACAATAACCACACTTTATATATTAATATTTTTTCTGAGGAATATGGTGTATATGGGAATACATTAAAATATAAGAATTAAAAATATTACATAGATTTTTTAAAATTAAAAATTTTCAATTAGTCGTCATTCACACACATATGTTCATTATTTTACAAAGACAAATTTTAAAAGTAAAAATTTAAAATTTTGAAAAGACTTAATCAGTGTATATGCTATTTGATATATTTTTATAAGATAAAAATATAATGTATTTATATCTTCTCCTAAATAAAATATTTTTTTAAATAATGGTAGTCATAATACAATGGAAATTATAATCAAATATTGGTGGAAGAGAAGGTAGTGAGGGGAAAGGTGCAAATGTTCAATGTGTGTTTTGAATGTAAGTGGATTGTTGTGGTATGTCAGATGTGATATTTTACGAGACTTTCTCCCGCTTAAAGACAAAGAGATGTTGGATTGTAGGAGGCTCTTTAAAGAATGATGGGCCTGACTCGATGAAGTGGAGAGATTTGAGATAGGAGTAGGTTGGTATTGTGTTTGATATTGTGGGGTTTTCCTTAGTGTGGGGTAGGGAAGAGGATATTAATCAGGCAATAGTGTTATGTAAGGGTCATAAGTGAACGTATAAGGGAGTTTGGTAGGAAGAGGGTTATTGGAAGCTATGCTGTGATCATAAATATTTCTTTTACTAACTTCTTTTGCAAGTACTGCTAATGGTGATAAACTAAAATCCCAACAAAGTTTTTGATTGTATGTCCAGAATATATTAGAGTTGGTCTCATATATTTAATAATAGCTTCTTTACGAACTCATTATATAATAGACACGTCGAGCTACGACATACATTCCTTGATATCTCAAAAGTAATACTATAAGATAGTTTGGTGAATCTAACAAAATGTTGGCACATATAGTGAGCTTATATGAAGGCTAGTGCATCCTCAAATATCATGGAATACATGATTAGTTGGGAACATACAAAGTTGGCACAAAGGAGCATGGCTAGTGCATCCTCAAATACAAGTCGGCAGAGGCTTGCAATATTTCCACCCGAACGTCTTAGCAACAGTGGAAAACAATCATGGCAAGCTTTTGTCGATGGTTTTATTTTTGAGCAAGAAGGCATGCAAGGATTTGGAGCGATGATGGAGACAGAGGAAGGCATTTTTGTTCGAGCAGTTTCAGGCCACTTTACAGGTGGTATGAACCCTTTTATTGCAAAGGCTCTAGCTCTTCGTAGTTTTTTATTATTTCTCAAGCAAAATTATTTTGAGTGTGGAGGTACTATTTTCATGGACTCGCAAGTTTTATTTTTTGCTTTGAGCTCCTCTATTTTATTCAGATCGGATGTGGGGAATATTATTTCTGATTGTAAAAACTTATTTTTAGACCTCCCTTTGGTTTCGTGTAGATGGATTCATAGGCAAGCGAACTTAAAGGCTCATACCCTAGCTCAAACTTCTATTCGTTTTGCGCACCTACGTATCTGGAATTATATTCCTTATTGTTTGTCCGAGATTTATGATAATGAATGAAAGACTTTGAGTTTTACTCTTTCAAAAAAAAATATAAATAAATAAAAATAAAATATAATTAAATATTTAAAAATAAATTTATAAAATTTTCAAATCTCGCATTATCATATATATTTGTTAAAAAATAATACATTCATACTGTTTTTCTTTTAAAAGAAAATATCATGTGTTATATTAAATATCCAACCACATTACATTTTTGAGAAAATAAATTTATTTTGATATTAAAAGGATAAATGCCATTGTGTAGTCTATATTTTGAGAATCTATCCATACCACATTTACTATTTTTGAGAAAATAAATTATTTTGATGATTAAAATTTTTTAAATTATGGGTTTATTTTATTTAAATAAATAAATTTAAAAGACTTAATTATGTTATATTCTATTGAATTTATTTTTAAAAAATACACTTTTTCTTTCTATCCCTCTCCTAAATAAATATTTTAAATCGTATAACAAAAATAGATAAATATTATAAAATAAAATATAAATTCTCAAATGTATCCCATTTATCGCTATATAATTATTAAAAATAATATGTTCATAGAGTTTACCTTTTTTTAAAAGAAAATATCACTTTTTATATCAAATAATCCAACCCAGCAGTACATTCTCTTTGAATAATATAAATTAAGTGGTATGTGGGGTTTATATTTAAAATATATTTTTTAAATTTATCTTTTCTTTAGTTTTTACTTGTATTTATTATTTGATTAATTATTATTTTTTATTTAATTATTTTTTCGTGTATATAATTTAGTTTATCATTTTATATATAATTGTAAAGAAGTTGGAAGGACAATATTACAGGTTATTAAGTCATGATATTATAATAATAACACGATATTAATTATGAATATTTATATGATGATTTAAAACAATATATTGCTAAGTACCATAAAATAAATACAATTATTGAATTGATTTAGTAATATAATTTACTTGGATTAATTGTAAATGTATAAAATAATTGAAGATGTAAACCGTTATTTTATAGTTTGGGAATTGTATATATTTTTCTTATATATTTGAAATATTTATATTATTTTGTATAATAATTTAGTTTACATTTTAAAATAAAAAGTTAAGGACATATTCCGGTATTGCAATGAAATAATAATTACACGTATTATAGAAATTAAAGTTTAAACAAATATTCATAAGTACCATTAAAGATAAATACAATTATTAATTGATTTAGTAATTAATTCATTATAAATTGATAAATAATTGAATGTAACCGATATTTAATTGAATGTAAATTTTTTAAATTAATTAGTAAAAAATTATTAAAAAAAGTCAATTGATTAATAATTTAATATCATAATTTATCAATTACTAAGAACTTATGTTATTTAATAAACTCAAAATATTATCAGTTATCCAAAAGGATATTTAGGATTTCTAAAATTTTATTAAGGTTATTACAGATAAACTCATTATTCATCTCATTCTCACTTTTATATATAATATAGATAAAATGAGTTAAATCTTTTAAATAAATATAAATGAAATAAATTATTTCGAAGCTTGTAAAAAAGTCCAACCACATTTGGTTTTTAATTGAATAAAATATTTTTGAGTATTATTCCTTCCGTTTCACTTTAATAGCAATATTTGCTCTTTTCACAAGAATTAAGAAAATTATTGAAATTCATTAATTTTCTAAAAATATATAATATAATGTCTAAATTGTCTTTTTTTTAAAAGTAAATATAAAAATAAATGACACCTAATAAATATAGATAAAATTGAAAAATTAATATAGTCTCAAAATTTCAAATAAAAACTTAAAATTGAACAAAATAAAATATCTATTTACTGTTATTAAAATGGAACGGAAGATGTATAATATATTAATGTTTGACTTAAGTGGTTTTCGAATAAGAGACCATGGGACATAAAGTCTTAGCCTAATGGTTAAAGTCGAGATAGATTCAGTTTTCCTTTCTAACTATAAATAATTCGTTGTTGGTCTTATAGGTTGGGTTTGATCTTTGCTTGTTAATTCATTTTTATTTTCATTTGGGACTATAAATAATGATTATTATACACTTTGTACTACTGACAACAGTTACAATAGTCTCAAAGCCATCAAATACAAGAGTCTCAAAGCCATCAAAGGCAGTACAATCATTATCAAAAGCCCATTTGCTTGTTAATTCATTTGGTGATCGATCATCAATGAATTAAATATAACTCCACGGAATCATTCGTTAGTGTCATCAACATCCAATTAAAATATAATTAATTTTGTTATAAAATAATATAAAATTAGAGAAAAGAAAGAGAAAAGATAGAAAGCAAAATATGAAAAAGAATACAAGGGTGTATTTATTATTCATGAGAAACCACATATATATAATTATATAAATGAAACTTTAATAAATCTTACATAAATGGAACTATAATTACATAAATCAGGAAGATAGAGTTCGCAATAATTAAGAATATAGACTTCTAGCCATATAGAACATTCACTTATTGCATAATAAATTTTAGTTTAATTTATTTATTAAATAAAAATTATACTTAACTCGTATTAAGCTACAACTCTACTTTGAAAACTACCACGCCATCTCATGCATATGTTACATGACAGATCAATGAAAAAATTAAATAATATTAAATAATTCTTCACATGCATCATGCATAAGTCTTCATTCCATTATTTGTTCCTTCACAATAATATTAAATAATTTCATCAAATAACAATCAATCATGTATCGTCTGATTGATCTTTTTATTTGTGTAAATGGTGAGAAATCTCGAATTTAAATATTTTCGACTATAAGAGTTTTCACCAATTTTATTATTTAATATTTTACTAATTATCATTTTTCTGATATGAAGACAACATTCTATTTTCTCCGCACCCATACATGGACCTGTTGCCTCTACTTAGGAGCTCTTAAATTAATCTTCATATGAAATTTCTAGTTTTTAATATAATTGCTCATTTTGTTCAAATTGAAGCAGATACCAAAAAGTATCACGCAATAATTTTCTTACAAACCAAACAGAAGTCAGTCAGTCATCCTTGAAGAATTTAATCAAACACTGGGGCTGCAAATCCAATGAACCAAAATAAGCAATTTTGTCTTGCTTTGGAAAATTGAAAATCAGAGGACCTACTTGAACATGATATAATCGCACACAGTTGAAAATCAACTTTGGTTGGATTGATTATGGATTCGCTGACGGATAGCTTTCTTCCAATAATTGTAAGAGTTTATTTGATAAAATAGAATTATCATTTTCCTCGGTTTGTTTTCAAACAATAAATTGCTGAAAAATATATTTCATTATTTTCAAGTTCCAAAAAATACGGAACTTGTCGTATATTTTCGAGTTGAAATTTCAAAATAGAGGATGGTAATAAACCAATCTTCAACTACCAATTCAATTTATAAAATTCCATTAATTTTATATTTGCTTTATATATTTTTTGCCGGACTTTGTTGAATCACAACACCTAATTTTTTTTTGTACTATATACATTTTTAATTACAATGTGTGATAAACATGGACAACAAAAGTCGTTGCAAGACTCAGAGGTAAAAAAATAAAACTATGTAGCAAATAAATTAAATATAACACCCTCGTGCTATAATCTTTTTTTAGGCTTATTGCGAATTAACTTGTTGTATTTGATAAATTTATTATTAATAATAATCTAAATTAAATCTTGATTTTTATCTGATGGAGATACAAAAACACAAAACAATAAATAACAAAAAGGAGATTATTATTGAAAAGATCTATGGAGATTTTGATAGTAATTTCTCATTTCATACAAACAAATTTGGATGAAACTATAATTTCTATTAGCTTCTGATAATTTAACCTTTTCACTAAGGTTAAAATATTATATTTTATTATTTATAGCATTTTTTGGATAATTTAATGTTTAGAATTTGAAATAATATATTATAAAATATTATTTCCTCTAAAATTTGACAAAACATTAATAGAACAGCCGACGGTTATTAAAATAGCTAATTCTGTGCAATAGGGTCCAAATATATATTCTTGGTAACTTACAATTTTGGATTGATAGGCCAGCCTCCATAGCAGTCACCTGCAATAGCGTCCGGCTTCGGTTGCCTTCCAACCCAAAAATAGAGTGATGCATCTGTTTTTCCTTCAGAGTTGTTGTGACTGACTTTAGTAGCTGCCGTTTTGGAACTTGGATAACTAAATAAAAGGTAGAGGAGGATGTTGAATTTTCCATACGACACAGTGGACTTTCTTAATATTATAAATTGGAGCACGAGGAGAAATTACGGGAGACAAATTTGAATTCAGAAACCACTTAAGCACAGTACATTCAGAAAACTTTAAGAATTAAATAGACATATGTATGCATAAATAAATATACATATATTTATTTATTTCTTTTAATAATTAATCATAGATTTATTATATTCATTATTTTCAATAACTAATAGCCACATTAATAATAATAACAAGAAGAAATGGCTTTTTATTAGTCTTTAGACATAATTTAAACTCTAAAAGCAATTAACAAACCCTTTTTTTTTTATAAATTATAGTTGAGGTAAATTATCATTCCATGACTTATTGAGTAATTTTATTAGTTATAATTCAAGAAATCCATCACCCTCTTTTAAACTTGATCAATTAATTAATCATTTTGTTCTATAAGTACTTCGTCAAATCCACAAACCAAGCATCTCTAATAGCTTCAACAAAACACGGCGAAAAATTTTTTATAACAAGACTTCAAATTTAAAATTTTAAATCTTTATGATCTTTCTAATCTTAAATGAGCACTAGTTCAAAGACAAAGCATTGTAATTAAATTAAGCTAGGATTGAACTTAATTATATAATATGATGTTTAAAAGCATGCATCAAATTGTTGAAATTTAGTGTTTGATATACAACTTTTAATGAAAAAATAATTAACAAGCATAAAAGGTTTAAATTTTAAATCGCTTACAATGCTTCAACCAATCCATTGTCAATTGACTTTTCAAAATTTGAAGAGAAAAAATAATAATACCTCAACATAATATTAATTAATATGAATGCAGAGAGCCGGCTACCAAGGCTTAATATAATATATGATTAGAATTAAAATACGTTACCGTACTATCCTATAAATATGGATGATGAACATTTTGCAGCAATTCATCAATCCATATCAATACCTAGGGCATTTTCATCATGGAAAGCCAATTCCTTTCTTTTCCATTCCTTTTCACCTTCCTAGTACTTCTCTTGACGGTATTAAGATTATGGAAAAAATCCAGAAAAAACTCAGCTCCAAATCTACCACCAGGGCCACAGAAATTGCCTATAGTGGGCAGCATGCATCATTTATCTGGCTCCTCGTTACCCCATGTCCGTCTGAGAGACTTGGCCAAAGAGCATGGGCCTATTATGCACCTTCAGCTCGGCGAAGTCACGAACATTGTTGTTTCTTCGCCTGAAACTGCTAAAGCAGTTATGAAAACCCATGATCACATTTTTGCTCAAAGACCCTTTCTGCTTGCAGCAAATATAATGGCTTATAATTCAACGGATCTTGCCTTTGCGCCCTACGGAGATTATTGGAGACAAATGCGAAAAATCTGCACCCAAGAAATGCTGTCTAATAAACGAGTGCAGTCATTCGGATTAATAAGAGAAGAAGAAGTATCAAAATTAATTACAGAACTTTCTTCCCGTGCAGGGTCAACAGTCAACTTTAGCAAAATGTTCAATTCTGTGACTTACAATATCATTCAAAGAGTAGCTATTGGCAAGCTGTGGAACGGAGAAGAAGTAGTCATTCCAGCTATCAAGAAATTGATAGAAGCTGCCGGAGGTTTTAGTCTTTCTGATGTATACCCTTCAATCAAATTGCTTCATAAAATTAGCACTACGAGGTTTAAACTACAGAGAGCTCATAAAGAAGCAGATCGGGTATTCCAGAATATTATTGATGAACACAGGGCTAGAAGGGCATCAAGAGCTAAATCTGGTGCAAAGAATGAAGAAGAAGATCTAATAGATGTCCTTTTGCAAGCTCAGTCTAAAGAAGACCTTGAACACCCTATAACAGATGACAACATAAAAGCTGTTATCCTGGTTAGTTTTTTTTTTTTTTTTTTTTTTTTTTTTAACAGATGAAACAACATAAAAGCTGTTATTCCTGGTTAGTGTTTTTTTTTTTTTTTTTTTTTTTTTTTAATAATACATAATACATTAGTTTCTCCATTGGATGGAAAATATTGTTTTGCCTTACTAACTTTATGATTAAATATCCTATTTCAGGACGTCTTGTCTGGTGGTAGTGACACAATCAGCTAACACTGTTAGTATGGGTGATGGTCGAATTACAAAAAATCGCGGCGTGATGAAAAAGAGTAACGAAACTGAGGTAGACAAGTTTTTTAGTGGAAAAAAGGGTACGTGGATGAAAGAAAGCATCGGGAATTACACTACTTAAAAGCTAGTTGTAAAAGAAAACTATGAGATTACGTTCCTCCTGGAACATACTAACTAGAGAAATTGTACATGGCAGACTGTGTAATTAAATGGGTTACGACATTCCTCATAAATCTAGAGTTATTATATAATAGCATGGGTTTGTAAGAGATCCTGATTACTGGCCTGAAGCTGAGAGAATTCCAATCCGGACAGAATTCTAATTCTTCAATTGATTTTAAAGGAAACCATATCGAGTTTTCTGAGTTTCTTCCATTTGGTGCCGGGAGGAGAGTTTGTCCTGGAATATTATTCGGCATATCTAATGTTCAATTTCCTCTTGCCCGATTGCTTTATCATTTTGATTGGAAACTTCCTAATGGAATGCAGCCAGAAGATCTTGACATGAACGCAAAGTATGGAATTGCAGTGACAAGGGTAAACGATCTCCAACTAATTCCCATTCCATACCTTCCTGCAAAGGTGAAGTAAAATCTCAATGGAGCTTTTCTTTCTACGTTACTTTGATCTTTGCAGATGAGCGGATCAACTTTTTTTTTTTTTTTTTTTTTTTTTTTTTAACTGTGTTTGAAATAAAAAATTAAATAAAAAAAAAAAAACTTAATTGTGTTATTTGCGACAAAGAATTCGTAGTCCTGTCAGTTTCTATCCTTTGTTTTTTTTATGAGCCAAAGAAAGTACAGAAATACATTATTATTTGTCAAGCACAGAAATATCAAAAAATTATATATGATTAATATTTAATTTTCTCTGTTTCCTATTTATTCACTAAATTGATGAAAACACTTGTGGTCGAGACCTCTTACAACTCACCAACGATTGACTGTTTCCTTTTTAATTTATAAATTGTTTTTAATTTGTAGCTTCATATGGATTAACATATGCAGATTAATGACTTTCTTGTCTAAATTTCATGCAATAGAAAAACAAAAGATTTTTGTATTTTAGCCCTAATTTCACCTGTTAATAGGTACTAAACATGGAATATCCATATTTAATAAAAGATAAGAAATAAAAATTACGATCAACAACGTAAAAATATAATTTCACCTGTTAATAGGTACTAAACATGGAATATCCATATTTAATAAAAGATAAGAAATAAAAATTACGATCAACAACGTAAAAATAAAAACAGTGTAAATAGAAGAAGTAAAAGTTGAAAGTGACTATTGATTAAAGTGAAGAAATATAAATATAACCTAAATTTCCAAGATCCAACGTAGAAGAGCCTTCATTGTGCAATAATTTTAAAATAGATTAGCAGCAAATATAGTCTGAAAATAAAAATAAATTATTATGAAATATCAATTAAGAAAAAAACGTGGGAAGCAGGAGTCAATCAACCCACGCAGGGTAGACGGGGAAAAGAAGAGTCCAGCTGAAAAGCTAGAGAACCCAGCAGAATTAAGAGCTTTTCTAGTGGGAATTAGCAGATTAGATGGTATAGGAACATTAGCGGTTATGTATTTATAGATCAAGGCCTGGTGTTCAAGCTCCATCCATTGAGATGGAGTAAAAGGTCCTCTAGCCTCTGTGAATGCCCCATGCATGTTTAGACTAATACAGTACATAAATAGTTAATGCAAAAATAAATATTGGAAATGAAATCATCCCAACAGCTCTTCATGATAATTCAATTTTCTAAGAAAAAAAGTATAATATTAAGAAGTACATTTATAGCATAAACAGTATGCATTGGGATTTAAAAATAAAAATAACAATGAAACGCTTGTGTAAGTTCAAGGGCATTTTGGTCCTCCTTCCTTGGTCTTCCAATTATTGTAGCAAGGGCATAGATGTTTGTTACCGTAAGTCCCAGGTGGAACACAAAGGCACTTTGAGCAACACTTTAGGCAAAAGAACATGCATGGCTTCTTGTATGATGTTGCTGAGCACCTATAACTACATCTTGGTTTGCAGTCTGTGGCAAATATAGTGTTAAAAAAAAAAAAAAAACAATTGAGTAAACTTTTTATTTATTTATTTATATCACAGGTGCTCCTAGTCCATTAGATTAAGTCTAATCTTGCTCGTGCCATGTCAGGCCCATAACGGCACACTCCTGACGGAAATTTTCTTCATTCACAAAGATCAAACTTTGTTATTTAAGAGACTTAAATTGAAAGTTACTGTGATTTATGTCTATATCATAAATAGAATCTAAATGACTAAAAAGACCGGTCTTGTTTCGAATTTTAAAAGTCACCAGTTCAAAAATATCAATTCAACAAATCAACTATTTATAGTAAAAAGGAAATATCTAAATTCTTATCTATCTAAAAATTTCTACCAATTCTAGTAGATACTGATTTTTTAATTAGGTTGTTTATATTTACCTGAAGGATGAAGCTTTGAAAATTTTGCCTGTTAACAAATTATAAACAAATAACAATTAATTAAACTAATTTTGAGAAAAAAAATCAGCAAAATTATCTGCTGCCGCTATTCAGTAGCACTGAAAGGACTAACAACAGGGAATCGGACTTGAGGCTTCTCATCTCTCTCATTTAAAACTAAAAGAAAGAAAAAAAAAGTGATATTGTTTAGTTGAAGAGTGGATAGACAGTGAACAAATTGTGAGTATATTTATAGCAATTTTGGGGGTACGACTGATTAGAAAAAGAGAATTAAAAAAAAAAAATTGCACGGCTCATGGTGGTAACGTTGGAATTAGATTACCTACGGATTGTAGCTTAGTTAGCAATGCAGACTAGGCATGTGAGAAGAATTATCGGTTCGATTTTCACTAAACACATCTGCAGGGAGAGGTGAAAAGTTTTAGCTGTGACTAAACTCCAACCTGAATTAAGCATTCTCTGATATAGTATTCGGATACGGGTAGTTTAAAAAAAAAAAAAAACATTGGAATTAAGTTTTGGCACCATGCCAAATAAAATCCTTCCACGTGATTGTTTATGAAAATGTTTGCGCTAAAAGCAGAATCCATGTTTTCTATCGTTTTAATTTGCTACTCCCTTCCGTTTTTTTTTTTTTTCTGTTAAATTTTCAGTTTTTATTTTTCTTTTCTATCGTTTTTTTTTATTTTTTATTTTGGGGTTCTAAATTATTTAGGGGGAAAAAAAAAAAAAAGAATGAGATCGTCGTGAGTGTCCTGTAACACCTGTTGCAATATGGTGGTTAGGACATGTGACAATTCATTATTTATGATCTAATTTTGTGTGACTCGTAAACTTTCTTTATGTATATATAATTGGCCAATGGATTGTTTAAGTAAAATTATTAACTCCTTGCTTGGGCTTAAGTCTATCAATCCTAAATTCGATATATTTTAAATTAATTCATTTTGGTTTTAATACAAAAAATAACTGTTATCATTAAAATTAATAAATTAAATAATTTATAAAAATAACTGTTATCATTAAAATTAATAAATTAAATAATTTATTCATATAATTAAAAACTATATAAATTGTCACTTAATATATTATTAATTCTCTTAAATTGTAATTAATAAATTATATTTAATAAAATAACTAATTAAAATTAATAGAACTTTATATCTTTGGAATCTTACATAATACAATATATTTGAGATTACTAAAGCTAGAGTAATATTTAATATTTTGACAAAATTAACATTTTTATTTACTTCCTTTTGTCTCCTTAGTTCGTTTAGGACAAGAGAATTGATTTAAAATTTATCTAGTTTTAGTGACAGACATCGTTTTCACCTCCGCGTTTTATTATTTCCTCCCTCGTAGTGTTCTTTTACTATGTTTTTAGAATATAATTTTTGTAGATGATGATGCTTATACTTTGAGTTTAAATGGAATTTCTTGATCTTTCATGTTCTCCATTTTCCTCTCTCTAAATGACCTCCACCCTTTTCTTCAATTAAAATCTATGTACCTTACTCCATTATCTCTATTAATAATTTTTATTTTTTTTCTTTTTGACTTTGAAAGCAACTCTTCCTTCCTACTCCCTCTCCTGTAAAAATACTTACAATTAGGCTCAGTTTTGTTGCTGTGAAATAATTTTTAGCAAAATATTTTTCACAATTTTTTATTATTGGGGACATTTGGAAAACTAAATCTACGGAAACTATTTTACTGGTTAAAAAAAAAAATGACTTTTTATATTCAAGAGGTTAAAATATTTTTCAGATTTTGAAAAACTTATTATTACTTTATAAATCCATATTTTGTTAATTTATTAATCATCAGTAGCCACTATTGCCACTCATCGTTCCCGGTAATTTTTATAATTTACCTTTTTTTCCATTATTCTCATATTTAATAATAAAATTTTTAAAATACGAAATTTATAATCTTATGAGTTAAAAATTTTAATAATTTTTAACTAATTTTCAAATTGCAATCAAACAATGAAAAATAAGCCATTTGAGAAAATGTTTTTCTTGAAAAATATTTTCCAAATGTAAATTATTTTTAGGAAAGGAACGGAGCCTTAATCTCCTCCATCCATGGTTGTGGATTTATTCATTGTCCGATTTCTGAACAGAATTGCTAACTAAATATTTGGAGTATCTTAACCAGTTTTTTTTCAATTGAAATTCATGTTGAATATCTGAATCTTAGTTACGTTCAATCTTCTCGCTGTTTACAGCCATTTAAAATTATTAGCATAAAGAAGAAAGGCCCAATAATGTAATTCTTTTAGTGAAAGAAACAAAAGGGAAATAAAAGGAAGATGTAAAAAGAAGGATAATTTTGTCAAAATAGTAAGCTCTGGCTTTAACGATCTCTGCTTTGGAAATAATACTTCCCTATATATACACATACATAATGACGAAGCAAGAAGTTTTTGTTCAAGAGGGGTATTAGCGGTATTAGCAACAACCTTGTTTGATAAAATTAGCTTAATTATTCTATTAATTTTCCATCAAACGTTAAAA